GACAACCAAGGACAATGCATATGGAAAACTGGAGCCTTCCCTCAGGTTCTGCAAGTAAAGCCCAGACCATCCTTCTACACCAGCAGTAAACACCTCTTTCTCTGTACCTCCTAATCCAAGTATGGCATGTAAAAATTGCTGAAAAATCAAGGCATTACATTTTTGCTTGCAAAGACAGACAAAATAAATTTGTGCCTTGAATACATATACAATTGTTTACTAAGATTATTTTAAGGTTTACACACATTTGATCTGAATGCTCAACTACCTGCTTTAGTAAGTTTTATTTTCTGTTTGCTGTGCACTGGAAATGTGTTACTTAGAAATTCCATCAGTATGTCACACTAGGGAATATTTTTGCAGTTGTTAAGAGTATTTTCTCTCTTGTTTTTCACACTGTCAGTCACAGACAGTTGTTAAAACAAACTACAACTTCAAAAGACACTTTCTGCTTTCCCTGCCTACACAAAGGCATTTTGTGGAGGGAAAAACAAAATGGGGAGGAGAAAACATAGTGTTTTCATACATGGTGAAAATAAGCATATGAAAGAACCTCCCTGAGCTGCTTTCTTTTGTGGGTTCTGCTGCCAAATTCACCCAGTCTCAAACAAACTCACTTTCCACAGAACTTCTAATCATGCAACTCAACTTCCTCATCAAACTGGTCTTCAGTACAAATACCCGAACACCTGAGATTTCTTCCTCTAGGTAATGAATGAGGTGCTCACTGGCACTTTCAGAGTGGTCTTAAAATCCCCACCCACTACGGCAGCCAGCTCAACAAAGATTTAGTAGATACGGAAGCCCCTATCTTTATTCTGAACTCTTCTGCTTTTAGGCAATCTCCTAATATTTCTTTCTCTTCTTCCACAACTGCTACTCGGCTCCTGTCAAAACCAAATTCTACAACTCCTTCTCAATATTCACACAAACAGCTGGAATCATTACCTTATTTTCCCCTTTGCTACAAGCCAAAGAAATGTACTATAGCAGGCTGAGCCACTGAAGATCAATGCACTAAAATTGTCAGGGGAGCACAAGAAAGAGAGGAGTATTGAAAGATGTGTACACTTAGAAAATCAACTGTCTACAAGGGAAATGACAGCAGTTACATGATAGATTACTGACCTGGCAGGAAATTACTGCTCTAGTTTATCAAGAATCACCTTTCAGGCAAACCCCACACATCCACCTGTGTTCAAGTCACAGAGGAGTGAAGTTTGTTGACGACTCAAAAGTAGAATGCATCATCCAAGGAGAAAGATCAGAAAAATCCTACAAAGAAATGAGTGATCTTTAGAACTGCATCAACAAAAGCAGAGTGGAGTAAGGAGACAAAGAACACGGTCATGCACTCGAAGATAACAGGAATTTCTCCTAAAAGCTTGAGGCTTCTTTGTGACGAATAACCATACAATAAAAAGAGACCTCAGTGTATTAAATTATGAGAAATATGTAGATGTTGGACACAAGTAAGATAACTGTAGTTTTAGAAGGTATCAAATTGAATATGGCATTAAATATGAAACTTTCTGGAAACAGAAGACCAGATTGCACAAGAAAGATTAATTCAAATGGAGACAAACACAAAGAAGAGCTGTGCCCTCCTATTATTAGATTCCATAAATTCAGTTTTAGTATAAGGCAAAGGAAATACAGCCTGTTGCGGCAAGGAAAACAGGTCAGTAGGGATCAGCCTTTGACAAATATGTCAGAGAGAGTACCAAGAAATCTATACTAGTTGAGAAATAAGATTGGCACAAATGGATATAAATGGACCCTAAATTAATTTTGTCTGGAAACCAGAGCTTGCTTCTAGCTGCAGAAGGAAGAAAATTCACAAACATCTTTCCAATAGATATAATAATGGAAGAAAAAAAAGAATCTTGACTCCATCTCTGAATGCAGTTAGATGATAATCCATAAGGTAGACAACAGCTTGATTAATTTAGCTGTATCTTTACACATGTGCAGAAGAGAAAGAAACATGCAGAAGACGCATTTTCAACATGCTGGGATTTTTTACAGGTAGGGAAGCTTTCCTTCATTTTAACACCATTCCCCATAATCTATGCTGTAAGCAAATTACAGAGTCAGGATCATTACAATATTGTTCTAAAGGACTCTGTTTTGGTATAGGCAATGAGACGCCTACAGAGGTGCTATATTGGTGGACTAGTTGGATTTACACTCTCTGGGAAGCTCCTGTCACTACCTGGATTCAAACTTGAAAGCAAATGTACATTTCAGATAGGCAAACACAAGAGAAGTTTTACCTCAATACCCATTAGCATGTGTGTATCAGGAGCAGCATCAGTTTAACTATGGCACAGAATAAAGGTGACCCCTGTTTTGTTTAGCCAAGTGTTATATTACCATTTCAACTACTTATTGTTGGAGGGTTTTCTGGTTGGTTGGTGGATTGGTTCCTTTACTAGAACAAGATAAATGCCAGAAAAGCATATGGATTCCAGTACTTGCAGGAACAGTTATATGTCAACACTATCATCAGATACATGAGTCTGACAGGTTGCTTTGTAGTCTTGCTTCAAAAGCACTGAAAGGCTTCAAGATGTCAAAGGCCCACGTTAAGCAACATTCCTCAGGAGCACTTTTGTCCCTCAGCTGAAGAGTTATGTCAAACCCAGCACTGCATCAGTACACTGTATCAGTCAGATACATCATGCTTCATTTAGTAACAGAAAGCCTACACAATGAAAGCTATGTCTTAGTTTCAAGACTCATTCCTTATAGTAGTTAGAGAAAATGTGCCAGCTATTTCAAATAACAATCTGTATCTCAACCTGATCTCAATAAATGTACTTGTCTATTTGTCCTCTGGAATCTAAAACATGTGTCTTTTATGAGAACTGCACTACCCATCACTTGAACCTAAAACACTTAACAGATCTCAATCTTGCTTTCAAAACTTTTCCTGAGCTTCTTACTGATGACAGAACAACAGTGTAAGGAGCAGGACCCAGGAATCCAGACAGCTGCCTCTTTGTTCTCAGCCTGGCAAACATTACTGTAGTTCTGACTGCTGTGCAACAGGTTGCTAACAAATATTTATAATTTCCCTCTCAGTCCTTCATAGTAGGGATAAAAATAGATACTGATTTTTTTTAAGTAACTGTGCCAAATAAAGACATAAAAGGTTTGTATTTTTGTCTAACTATCCCCAAGAGCCTTCTCAATGTCCAACACTTAATCCACTGATTTACTAAAGGAATTTGCCAACTGCTAAAGCAAGGATTAGCTCTACCTAATTCAGAATGACTTTTAAACTACCTAAATAGAAAATTAAGCCAGAAGAGCAATTCTGAAATAGCAGTAATACCTGATAGCCAATTCTCATTGACCATTTTTTTAAGACACCAACAGAGCCAAAAAATCCAAGTCCTCCAACAGAACTGATCCATTCCATTAAAGCATAGATGTAAAGGATTTAGCACTGTGCAAGGGAATTTTCTCCTTTTTCAAATGTCCAAATTCATAAAAGCAAAGAATGGTTTGTCTTGGAAGGGACCTTAAAGCTTATCTGGTTCCAACCCCCTGCCACAGGCAGAGACACCTTCCACTAGACCAGGCTGCTCCAAGTCCCATCCAACCTGCCCTCGAACACTGTCAGGGATGGGGCAGCCACAGCTTCTCTGGGCAACCTGTGCCAGTGCCTCACCACCCTCACAGTTAAAGAGTTTCTTCCTAATGTCTAATCTAAATCTCCCTTCTGTCAGTTTAAAACCATTCCCCCTTGTCCTGTCACTACATGCCCTTGCAAAGAGTCTCTCTCCAGACTTTTTGCAGGCCCCGTTTAGGTACTGGAAGGCTGTTAAGAGAATTGTGACTGTGCTCATAGCTTTTATTCAGTGCTTACTGCCTTTACAAACTGCGGGATGCTGTGATAAATACTACCAACAGAATCCTAACGTGCCCATCTCAAAGTTTTATTCCGCGCGCTACTGAACGGGACAAAATCCCCAGGAGCCGCCGCTCTCAACCATCTGGAAGAGCAGGACAGAGACCCGAGGAGCACGGCGCCCCGGTACCATGCCTCCCACAACCGAGCACTGCAAGCAGCGCCCAGGCCAGCCGAGGGTTACACTGCCGCACTCCATCCGGTACACCGTGCTCCAAGGGTCACGAAACTAAGGACACAACGGAGCGAGGACAGCGAGGAGAGCGAGCACAGACTCCGGGATGCCACGACCCGGACCGGGGCTCCCGGAGCCGGCAGGTCCCGCCCCGGGAGTCCCGCGCTGCCTCCCGCCGGCAGGCCCGAGCGCCCGAGGCAGCCGCTGACAGCCGGCGGGGAAAGGCCCGCTCTAGCGGGTGATGCCCCCGGCAGCTGAGCGGTGCGGGTGACGGTCCCGCCGGGGAAGACAGGGCGCAACCCGCCCCTGCCGGCGCGGCCGGGCGACCCCGTGCTGTGCGGCGGCCCCATGGCGCGGCGGGGCGGGGGCGGGGCAGGCCGGCGGCTGGTCGTGGCCGGGGCCGTCCGCCCCCCTCACCTGATTGAGCTCGTTCTCGGCAGCGATGCGCAGCTTCGGGTCTATGGTGCCCTTCAGAGCCTGGATGATCCTGTTGGGATCCATCTTCCCGCTCCGTCGCTGGCAAGCAGCGCGTCCCCAGGGGCAGGAGAAGGAAGAGGGAGAGGAGCCGCCGCTAGCGCCGCCGCCCCCCGGTGCCACAGTCACAGTCTCGTGTCCCCCACCCCCCTCGGTCCCTCTCCGGAGCCATTCACCGGTTTGCGACAGCTGGGTATCGGGAAACGGGCAGTGCTTTACGGCCGCAGCGCCTCCTTCTAGCTTCGGGCGGAGGTCGGCGAGAGGTGGCCGCCATGTTGTTGTACGGATAAAAGTCACCCGGAATGGCACGCTGGAGGCGGGGTTAGGGAGCGGTATCCTTGCCGTGGCTATCGGGGGGCGGCCATGTCGGCGTACGGAACACGGGCTGAGCCGGCCCGGGCAGCCGCGGCAGCGTAAGGGGCGGCTCGGCCAGCCCCAGCACTGTTGCCGTGGTACAGCTGCCGCTGACTGCAGTGGTGTTGAGGAACCTCCATCGCTGCTTGGTGGCCTCTCCGTACCTTGCAGCGAGTGGCAGCACTGACGGAGGCACACCAGTCCCGCAAGTATTGGGCTGCTCAGCCCACAGGATGCTTCCAGGCCCTCTGCACTAATCCATCTTTGCCAGCACATACTTGCACTGCACTTGAGGTAAAATCCTCGTTTTCCTTCTTAAGTTTACTCCTTTCTTCCAGTAGCTTTCTAGCTTGCATACCAGGTTCGATGTGTATTTGCTACCTGGTGAGTTGTTCGCATGAGGATTAAAGTGAGCACACAAAAACTGAATGGAGGTGAGGTCAATTCCATTACTCACACAATTGTCCAGGTACCTGCAGCTGGACAAGAAAAGTTCGCAACGTACAGGAAGATGGAGACATGCTGCAAGGTGCTTCCTAAAACATGCAGTGGGACACACATTGTAATTCCTGCTGTGCTTCTGAGCAGGCTCCTTTGGATTGCTTGTCCTCATCATTATGTAGATTAGTAGAACCTGAAAATTACTTGTGTATCTTAATGGTGTTTGTGTGTGAAAATCATGGAATGGTTTGGGTTGGAAAGGACCTTAAGATCATCTAGTTCCAGCCCCCTGCCATGGGCATGGATGCCTCACAGTAGACCGTGTTGCCCAAGGCTCTGTCCAGCCTGATCTTGAACACTGCCAGAGATGGAGCATTCACAGCTTCTTTGGGCGATCCATTCCAGTGCCTCACCACCCTCACAGTAAAGAACTTCTTCCTTATACCTAACCTGAACTTCCCCTGTTTTAATTTGAACTTCTTGGGTATACAAAGACTACTTCCACCTGTAAACATTTGCCCTACTGTGATTGTCCACCCCTGTCCTCCTGTTTGCACCCTTAAGCCATAGAACATGCAGCTGATCCAAAGGAAGAATTAAATATCCGTGCAGGTGTAAGATAACTATCTGAAGTGCAGTTCACAGACCAAAAGCCTGCCAGGAAACCCTCATGACTAGTGTGAACTTAGTGAGCTAAATCCTTTGCTTACTTCTGCAGGTAATGTTTTACATTACATTTACAAACAAGGAACATTTTATTAGCTACTAGAAAGAACAAAAAGACTATCTGCTGTATTTTGGAAAAGTCAAACACAAGAGCAATTACAAGATCATCCCATTATATAGATGCCTTAGAAATACTATTAGTATGTCATTTGTTCATTGTAATTACAGTGTAAAATGTCATTTGTCATTACTGCTCCTCAATTAAGAAAGCAGCAGTACTTCCTTCAACTTATGTATTACCTGACCTATGCTGAGGAATACTTTTCTTAACAATACTGAATGCACAGCATTTATGTATCATTGATAGTAGGGGTACCCTTCTCTACCCAAGGGAACTATATAGCAGTGTTTGCCATATCTTTATTGCCACTAAATAACTTAAATTCCTAAATAAGGAGGGCCTACAAGAATTCTGGAGAGGCACTTTTTAGAAGAGCATGTGGTGCCAAGACAAGGGGAAGTGGCTTTAAACTGACAGAAGGGAGATTCAGATTAGACATTAGGAAGAAATTCTTAACCATGAGGGTGGTGAGACACTGGCACAGGTTGCCCAGAGAAACTGTGGCTGCCCCATCCCTGGCAGTGTTCAAAGCCAGGCTGGACAGGGCTTGGAGCAGCCTGGTCTAGTGGAAGGTGTCCCTGCCCATGGTGGGGGTTGGAGCTGAATGGTCTTTAAGATCCCTTTCAACCCAAACCATTCTATGAAATTATTTACAAGGAAAATATTAAAGCAGCTAATACTATTAAAGAAAACTCCCTTAATAATTTTGTTTATAATTTAAAAAATAATCTGGCTGTAAAAATGAATTACACTTACCTGGCCTTTGGAGACTGTGTGCTTTCTTGTGGTTTTCATCACTTTGAAGTGGTGCAGAACACCTGATCATTATCATTCAAGAACTGCCATTCTGTTCTCCAGTAATGCAGCTCTACAACATTTAGCAGGAAATTGAAGGTATTTTCATCCACCTTTTCATTTGTTCTCAGAAGCAGGTGAGAGTATGTTCAGTAATCATAAAACATAAACAGAAAACAGTGTGAGTGTGAAAAGTATATGTTGTTAACTGTAATAATTCTTTGTCATTTTCCCATTTTGGTTAAGATAGAAAATAAACCAGTCCAGTGAAAACTGTCCCTTTTAAAGATCTTGGAGCACATATCATACAAATCAATATAACTTCAAGGATTTGTAGTGTTGTATCTCCACTTCCTTCTCCCAAATTACCATGCTGTGGGCAGTTTAAAAGCAGCTCTGGTTTATTCTGTTTCTGCGTATTCATCTCTGGTAGGTGAACTTAAATGTTATTAAGTGTATTTGTTAAAGGACTTCAGTCTTGTGGAGCTGGTGATGTAAAATGTCACAATGAAGAACCAGATGTGCTTGAAGGCTATTTTAACATCTCCCTAAAATGTTTTTAATAGTTTTATTGCACTTACTATTTGTATTTAAAACACAGAACTTTTAAGACACAATAGTCATTACAAGAAGAAAAAAAAAAAATTTTACACCAAATAGCTAGCAACGGTGATCTGCATCAGATAAATGTATAGCAGGCCTCCAGGTACAAGACTTCCTGGCTAAAAAAGGACATGGAGCTGTTGGAACAAGTCCACAGGAGGGCCATGAGGATGGTCACGGGACTGGAGCACCTCCTGTATGAAAACAGGCTGAGAGAGCTGGGGCTGTTCAGCCTGAAGAGAAGGCTGTACGGAGACCCCATAGCAGCCTTACAGTATCTGCTTGTAAGGTCGCTGGGGAAGAACTCTTCATTACGGACTGTAATGATAGGACAAGGGGTAATGGGCTAAATTTAAACAGTTTAGATTGGATTAGATTAGAAGTTTAGATTGGATATAAGGAAGAAGTTCTTTCCTGTTAAGGGTGGTGAGGCACTGGAATGGGTTGCCCAAGGAAGGTGTGAATGCTCCATCCCTGGCGCTGTTCAAGACCAGGTTGGACAGAGCCTTGGGTGACATGGTTTAGTGTGAGGTGTCCCTGCCCATGGCAGGGGGGTTAGGAAATCGATGATCTTAAGGTCCTTTCAAACCCTAACTGTTTTATGATTCTAAAATTCCAAAGCTGTTGCCCCTACTGACTGTTTTGTTGGAGCAGCTACAGGTAACTTGGAGCAGTCAGGAAGGAAACATTATGTAAATTGATCCAGAAAAAGAGAACAGTGATATTGTCTGCACCACCACTGCAGCCTGCAGGATGGAGGCTTCCTTAGCTGCAGGAAGGCAGCCATGACAATTCTTGTTCATTCATGGTCTCTTCTCACTTCCATAGCCTGGAGGAAACACAAAAGTAAATTCCATTAGTATTTTGAAAGCTTTAAGAAGCCCTTTGTTGAATCCTTGAGTAGGCAGCTAAGACCAATAGAGCCACTCACTCCCCCCAACAGTAGTGAATCAGAAGAGTAAGGATGAGAGTATGCATAGGATAAGGACAGTTTAATAGGTAAAGCAAAAGCTATGCATTAAAGCAAAGCAAGGAATTTATTCACCAGTTCCCATCAGCAGGCAGGTGTTCACCCATCCGCAGCAAAGTAGGGCTCCATCAGACTTGACAGCTACTTGGCGTATCAGATGCCATAGCCTGAACATCTCCTTTCCCTTCTTCCCCCAGCTTGTAGTGCTGAGTACTAAGTTATATGGTTGCTATGGGTAGCTGTCCCCTCCCAACAACTTGTGCATTCCCAGCCTGCTTGCTAGAAAGGCTGTGTAAGAGGCAGAAAAGGCCTTGACTCTGGGTAAGCACTGCTCAGCAGTAACTAAGACACCCTTGTGTTATGGAAACTGTTCTGCTCACAAAACCAAAACACAGCCCCATACCTACTACTATGATGAAAACTTATTGCAGTCAAAGCCAGCACACCCTCCCATTTCAGGGTAGTTCCAGCATTTCACTGAACTCAGAGAAGAAAATGTGGAAACTCACTCCAAATCAAAATGTAGGGTTAGTTCCTTAACTTTTAGGCTCATCTTCAGCTGGCTGCACAAGGTAATTAAACTGGAGAGAACTTAGGTGGTATCTGATGTGCATAGCTAAGACAGCAACAGGATGTTAGAAGAGCTATGATGCCTCTTCATATATTTTAATTAGATCTGATTATCATCCTTAAAGTACATTAGCTAGTGTAACAATTCAAGCAACTTCATTTAATGACTACTAAGGAGAAAAGTATTGGCAGACAATACTTACCTGAAGTCTATAGCAGTGGTACATCAAGTGTTCTCAAATTGTGAAATGGTTTGCCCAGAAGTAGAATAGGGATCTAGATCTTTCATCTAGACATACTGAGGTAGAGTGAAACTGGGTCAGTAAATAATGCATTAAAATACTCTGAAGTACTTTGAGAAGCATTCAAAATCAAGTATTAATTTGAAGCATGCAAAATGACGTATGAGTTATCAATAGACTAGTACTTATTACCTGAAATCATAGGAAATGATGGGTTTAGGTATTTTAAAGATCAGAATAGCAATTTTCAACTAGTGGATTTTGGCCAGCTGTTAGTGTGGAAGAAAAAAAGGTACTTTGCTTGGTCTTTTGAAGTATTTTGTAAACATAGCCTTAGCATTTAAAAGGTTCAGTACTAGTCATTTTAGTCACATCTAGTCTGAAAACTTTTTTGTGACAGCACCTGTTCAATAGTACTTACATTTGTTTTTGTGACAGAGGTTAGCTAAAGCTGCGTCCATGGCTCTGACTAGAAACACAATAAAAGTTCTAGCTAAGAAGGTAATATGAGAAATGTATAGGATAACATTGAACATATTTTATTACGCTAGAAGAAAATTATCTAAGTTGTATCTATTTTTAATAACAAGTATCAGGAAAAAGACGTTTTAAAGTAGCTGCACTATAGAGAGAATTCCAATTCAGACTGATAAAGCCTATAAACTATGAAGTTTTTTAAAGCTATCCATTACATGATTTATGATCAAGTTTACTAACAAGGAATGGTATAATGATAAGATTTCACATCCCATACCTGGGGCAGCATGTACTCCTTTAATTAGGCATTAAAAATTCCATCTTGTACGGATGAAATCAAGATGTTTTGCTCAGATATCTTAAATATATGCAAGCTAAGATACATAAAAACTTTGTAGACCTATCAGTAAGAAATAAGATTAGTCCCAAACAAACAGTAACATGAGTCCACCAAGCAGTTGCCGTGGTTTAAGCCCAGGTAGTAACTCAGAACCGCTCAGCCCTTCCTCCTCTCTCTGGGTAGGATGGGGAGGAGAATCAAAGGAATGTAAACCCCACTGGTTGAGATAAGAACAGTCCAATAACTAAAGTATAATGTAAAACTACTATTAATAATAAGGAAAATAAGGTGAGAGAAGTGTAAAACTAAAAGGGGAAAAGGAAAGGAAAACAAACACAAGTGATGCACAATACAATTGCTCACCACCTGCTGACTGATAACCAGCCTGACCCAAGCAGCAATCTGGGCCTTCTGGGTAACTCCCTCCAGTTTAAATACTGAGCATGACATGCTGTGGTATGGAATACCCCTTTGGCTAGTTTGGGCCAGATGTCCTGGTCTCTGCTTTCTCCCAGCTTCATCTCCTCCCTGGCAGAGCATGAGACTGAAAAAGTCCTTAATCAGGATGAGCACTGCTCACGAGTAACTAAAACATGAGTGTGTTATCAGCATTGTTCTTAGACTAAAGTCTAAATGCAGCATTGCACCAGATACAAGGAGAAAGATAACTGCTATAGCTGAAGCCAGGATAGCAGTTTTACAGATCTGATTGAACCAGAGCATTAGAAAGCAGCATGCATATTATGTATTCACAGTAATCACACCTGAGGTTGCCAAAGGCTGAGTTTATTAGCAGCATCTGTAAGTACTAGTAAGTTGTTCTTAAAACATATGTAATCTATCACTTGCATATAAAGCAAGTAAGGATAAGCTGCATGCTAAATGAAGCAGCCTGCACTAAGGCCATCTAAGTGCTATATGCACAATAGAGTTCATGTATTTACTAGTCTCTATAATATAGACAGACTGGGAGAGGTGTGACTGGCACAGTGCTCTACAAATAAAACAATATAGGAGTTGTAGGTCTATTAGAAAAGCAATAAACTTTTTGTCCACAGCTACAAAGCTACTGCAAGCTTAGTTATCCTAGCACTCAGGCCTGTCTACCAGATGTATATACAAGGAGAGTTAACACTAAGAAAAGGGTGCTAGTTGAATTCCTGCCACTTAACCTCTACTGGGATTGTTCAGCATTGGCTGAAGAATTACCATGTTTAAAAGCACAAAATACAGCCTTAGTATTCAATAGTTAAGGCTTGACATTTTTGTCTGTAGTGGGAAAAAACAAGGTTCCCTGAAGCTTAGGCTTCTCAGAACTTGCCAAAGTAATCAAACCAAGACAAAGTATGATTACTCTCCAAGTCGATAAGAAAGAGAAATCTAAGCTTGGAATAAACCCAGGATCTTATGCCAGTAACTTCATTAAGTCATGCCAGACAACTTGTTTTGGCATCTGCAGGGGAGAGCCATTTAAATTTGGAAGTTGCAAAACCAGTCACCGTGAAACAGAAGCTTTATATCAGGTCTGAAGTCTACCCCATGCAGGTTTTTGCTTTTATCTCAACAAGCAGGTAGCTGAACCGTTTTTACTTTGCATAGTTCTGTTTCATCTTCACATATGCCAGTCACACTTTTGCACTCATTAGTGCACTCAGATGAAGTGCTTCCTAGGGCTAAAACAAACTAGGAAGCTTTTAGAACTAAAAAGAGCCAGTGACTTACCTATCCAATAAACTTTTTACTAGTTTATCTTCCATTTCAAACATTGAAATGCTTTACAGTAGTTGACATGACAAGGACATATCATGGCTTGACAATTACTAAGCCAAAGAAATTGCTGAAGTTTGGTCACAGAGCCCATTAGCTGTAAGAAAGGAATTTCGTAAATGCTTCCTAGCGTTTAAGATTTGAAAGCAGGCAGCATGCTTCAACTACAAATACTAAGTTCCTCAGCAGTTCTCTGAAAAACTGCCTTACAATCCAATTCAAGTGTCATGGGGGAGGGAAACAATACACCTGTGTACTTCACAAGGATCAATTTTAACTTTAAAATATATTTGCATCTAAGTGTGAGCCAGCCCTTCAGTGACTGTTTCAAGGTTTAAGTTTTAACTGATCACTGCTGAAAGACAGGTGATGGGACAAAGCTAGATTTTGACAGGATATGCACTTAAAATAAATAGCCCTAATGAAAGATGTAGAATTTCACTAACTTCTTGACCTTTTGATTAAAAGCAAGCAGGTATGGAACAATCTTGAACTCACTTTGATCAAGGACACACTTTTAAGAATGTCATCAAGCAAGAACTAAACAAACAAGTAATCCCTCTTAAACTACACAGTTTATCCTGAATTATTGGAACCTGAAGACCAGCTCTACGTAATATGCATGTATGCACCACATCAGGAACAAGCTCAGTTTGATATATTTAATAAAGACCACGGGCAATATTAATACTAAAATGCATATTAACTTGTTTTATTGAGGCACAACAAGGCATTGTGAATAGCCCATACTTGAGGCAATCAATAGTGTAGTAAGCTGGACATTAATACAGTTTAGGGTAAGTGCAAACAATATACATTCACAGCTTTACTAGCAAGGCTACATCACAACTGATAAAGTGCCAAATTAGTGCTGATTCAGTACCCCAACTTCATGATTTCACCTTGCACAACAGACCCATCATTTCCCCCCAGTAATGGAACCACATATCTTCTATAAAGTCAGAAGTGCAAAGCTAGTCCACCCCCCTCCACCAAGGTGTTTGGAGCAGCTCTTTTGTAAACATTGCACTGGATTTTAGTCCTGATAAAGGAGGTATCCTGAAAAGGTGGAATATTTCCAGCTACTTCCATAGATGGCTCCTCGATGCAGACGCAACCAGATTTGGTCTCCTTGGAAAAGCTGCAGGACTGCATGATTACTAGCTGTTTCATGATCAGGAGCCCCATCATTTGCATATGCTGACACTAGGACCTCTTCATTCTTCATGAGATTCACATACAGGGGAACATTTACAGCCAGTTTCAGCATGTGGAAGATGAAGACATATGTACCATTCACTGGACAGTTGAACCTACCAAGCTGGATATCAAAAGTTTCTCCAAGGTTGTTCAGCAACAGATCAAACACAATTGGCTGGTCTAGAGTTCCAGGAGCTAGGTTAGATGTTCTAGCGGCTGAGAAGGCAACTCTCATCTGCTGTGGGAGAGGATAGACATGCACTGGTAGTATGGTGGCAGCTTGGCTTGTCACTGGCATGTCAACAGGGGTGATGCTGCGGGAGTCTCCCTGCCCAGAGTCCCCACTGTTAAAGGTTTCATTGTCTCGTTCTGGACTGCTCACCTGAGAGGAATCACTCCACCCTGCTGTTAAAAGATCATCAGCAATGACAAGTAAGTATTGTAACAGAAGGATATCCTTAAACCTGCAGGTATAGTCCTAAGCAGCAAATGTATGGGCATTACAACAGATTTGTCTTTCAGCTACAGCAAGTTGTCCAATTACCCCAGTGAAAACAAAACTTTGAAGCTGGTTTACATTCATCACACTTACATTCAGCAAGATGGGCCATAATTTAACTATGAACAGTTACTTTCCATACTTTTAAGTAGAGAGGGCAGTAGCTTGCAATAGTTTTATCTTCAGTATTTCCACATACATATATCAGCATAAAAAAAAGTGTATGCTAACTTCTAAGAGGAGATAAAATGTAATTTCTGAAAAACCTTACAAATTACCAAGAGCCAAGCAGTCATTTAGTCACCTTCAAGACCTGAATTTGCACTTCAGGTTACCTCAATACTGTTGTTCTGGAACTGCATCCTAGGTCATACTGACTTGTGATGCTAGAATATTTTAAGTCTGAAGAACTAGAATTGCTTTTAAGTTTTCTGCACCTCAACTCCTCCCTCAAAAAGCTGTTTATCTTTTTCAAACATCCAAGTTAAAAAAGGTCTAAAATGAAAAGATTAACAGATCTGAGAAATATTAACCAATCACTCAAGCTGCAAATCACTGTTACTTCCACCAGCAAGGAACACCATAAGATACCAAATAAAGCTAAAGTTGCTATATCCTAACAATAATAAGTGTGGCTGTCAACTGTTAACTCGCCACAATCTCATATTTCTGTTAATTTTGTTCTGAAGTTTATTCTGAAAGTCCTCCCTCAGACTGAGTTGACCTGCTTTATCCTAAAATTTCCCGATATGCCAGAATTCCCATTTATTCTTCAAAGTAGCAATCTACGATTACTATTCATCTCATTTTTCACCTATAGCATCTTAAGTCCCAGCTTTTTCCAGCACACACACTAGGATTACATCATCTTGCTCACAGCTTTTTCAAAATACACACTATTCATGCTTGAGTCCTTGAGTCCCATGTGTTTCTTTAGGTTTTGTACTCCAGCATGGAAATAGAGTAAAGCTCTGTTCCCAAACAAATTATTTTTCATAGAAAAAGTTATCTTACAAGGTTTCTGTGATCTGATAGCTTCCCCAGAAGCAGGGGAGACCATGCAATTAATGGAAAAAGCCATATGCAACACTGGAACCACCCTCTACGTTTTCCTCATCAGTTTGTGAGGAAAGTTCAGTAAGGTACCATTATGTTAGAACTTTGACATATAAAGACACCCAAGTTGAGAATAGTAGCATTAAGTTTGCTGCTATGTAATACTGTTTCAGAACAGTACTTAAGCTTCTATCTAGCTTGGTTAATTTACACACACCTTAATCTGTTTTATCAGTGACAGTACACCATTTTCCTCACTATTCACAATAACACTCCATCTGCTATGCCCAAGCATACAGATGTGCCACTGGGAACCTGATGTTAGCCTTACCTCTTGAATTTGCACGAGGACCACTAGTTATCCCACCTCGTTTATAGCACTGCTGGTAATTAACATCCTAAAAGAGAACAGAAGTATTAGGAAGATGGCTATAAGCAAATCTGAAAATAAGTGGTGCTAACAAATACAGTATTTTTCATTTATAGAATTAATTCAAGCTCTAGAACAGACAATCATGGAGTTCAGAATGAAGATGCAGATAAACAGCCTTACTTACGGAAAATTTACAATAGCTTGTATGAAATCAAAGAGCTATCTCAATGCCCTTTCCAGCAAGTTAGCTTCTGAACTATACACAGTTCAGTTCAAGCAATACCTTAAATCTCAGGTCTCTTAGAAGTCCATTAGTCTGTACAGAAGAATGTATTTCATTTCAAAGCTGAAGACTCTCCTTTCACCAGAACCCTTTGCATTCTTACACATATATATTGTTTCTTTGGAATTTTTGCCCAACCATATTCTCATTCCATTATTTTATATTACAGAAGCACTCGGCACCAACTTTAAAATCCACAGTAAAATGACTCATATCACATCTTATTTGCTATATGTTTTCATTTCAGAGACTCCCTCCAGTCATTTCAACTGCTGCCTACTGTTTCAAAAAGTTTTGTCCAGGAAACAAAATCAGCATCTTGTAAGGAACAGTTCACCTGTGAAGGTAATGAAAACCTACAGTAGAAGACTCAGCTCCTGTACAGTGCTCAAAAGGCTACTGGAAACAAAGTCAATACTTACCCTCTGAGAATAGGGCATTCCAGCATAGTCTCTACCAGGGAACTGCAGCTGGCCATAGTTGCCATTAGTTATTGAAGGTGAGCCTCTGTAAGCATCAAAACCTGTTCAAATAAAGTTGATTATCTGATATTCCTCATTTGGTTTACAGTACAAGTCCAAAATACAACTGGAGCTCCCTCCTGGGAATTACTATGTGTATTAAAATATGCAACTACACCTATTCCTATTCAGAATTTGGAGCAGAATCTCACTTCTCCTGTAAAGAAAGCATTTCATTAGCTACTCGGGACTACTGGACCAAAATTGCATGCTTAGAAGTATTAACATCAGACCATAACAACTGCTTGTTTGATACTAATGGGACTTCAAAGAATAGCTGACAAAATTTGCTAGATCCAGAAACAGGATTTAACACAGAATTAAGAAGTATTTTCTTTTGCTATTACAGATGCTTATCTCTTATGGTTATACATTTAGGTGCTACTATTTAACCTCTTTAGCTATCAGACTAAGTAGCAAAGAAGAGCTGCAAGCCATTTAGTACCAGACACTATAAAACCCTTAACTGCTGTCAAGTTAGAACTATACAACTCATTGCCTGGTACATGTTGCTACCAGCTATTGAGCAGTCTCAGCCAAATAACTGAAACAGCTGTGATAGACTAAGTGCTCTTCCGAAGTGGAACAGGCCACAGCTACCAAAAATCTTAAGTTAGTATCTGCTTAAAGTCAGCTGAAACTTTCTGGAGTACTTCAGCTAGCAGCAAGATAGCAACTGACTTGCAGAGACAAACCTCTGAAATCTCTTCAGTTTGTTATTAATCCAGAAGGGGTCTCCACTAGTGGGAGCCTGTCCCGCATCCCAGTTTCTGCTGGTAATATTAAAGCCAGCAGTGCTAAGCAAAGAGTACCTTGTTTTGGGCAAATACCACAAGTGCTATCTGAAGAGAATACATGCCCAGAATGTTAGCAAGACAGATGCCAAGAATAAAAGGGGGAAAGGAGTTCAGAATAGTAAATGAAATAGCAAGCAAAATCTATATAGTTAAATAATTTAAAAGCCTGTTAATGAAAGTTTCCACTTTCATAACTCAAAAGGCTATGAAATTGCTCTGCCATGTCATGTTAAATCATATTCTAATATTACTGCATTAGAGTTTTAAGGTGGTAGCAAATACAGACATACCTTTGTACCCACCAGGGGAACGATATGAACTAGCCAGTGACCTTCCACCTCTAGCAGATCCTCTGACAGACCCACGACTGTTAAGGTAAGGCTGAGGCGGTCTGGGAATAACATTAGTCTGTGCTGGATAAAAGGCAAGGCTACCATTGCTAACAGGAACTGCTCCATCAGGTTGATAATTCACTGCTTAAAACAGAAGGCACAGAAGAATTTAAAGCTTTTGTAGCTGTAAGAAGTTACCACACCTGGAAGCAACAGCAGCCTTAGGAAGTTCAGAGATCCATTAAGCTGCTCAGAATATCCTGTTTTCCTGCCCCTGCATTACTTCAAATAAGAGGGTATCCTCCCATTTTCTTCTGTGTAATGTAATGCTTGTTGAAATATACTGTAGACAGCCCAGACTGTCAGTGTAAGCCTCTAATGCATTCAAGATTCAGTTGCATAGGTCAGAACAAGCTTGCTGGCAGTATCAAGAAAATAGCTAAGCCACAATAAAAATCAAGTAACACCTGGTTAAGAGCTTTCACATAGAACCAACACTGTTCTACAAGTGATTAGTCTTAGAAATCCAGACCCCTATTTATCAGCTTTCTTTCATCCTGGAAAATATTTGAGACTTAGGAACTGGTTTCATTTCAAATTTAGTGTCAGCTGTATTAGTTCTCCTGTTACAGTATCTGTCAAGCAGGTCTGTTTTGTGTTGAATAAGGCAGCAGAAGACCCCACCTATCAGAAGTTTAGTCTTCCTTAGGTTAAACTGAAAACCCGCCCCAACTTCATTTAGCATTCAACAACACCAGCACTGTCTATTACCAGAAACCAAATTAATGGTTCCAAATATGAGTATTTCATCATTGCTTCAATTCCTAGCTAACAATGGTGTGACTGGCAAGTATCAACACATTCTTGAATTTCTAACCTATCGGGAAATTCGGGCATGTAAGTGACATTGCCCATACACCTACTATAGAAACTAGTTTGAAGCAGCCTTTCATCCTGCTAGCAGTTTTGAAATTGTTTACACACCATATCATCAACTAGATTAGGCTGATGTAACCCTAATGTTAACAGGTGCTATAAAAGTGTTAAAGACTTTCACTGAGTTACAACTCATACCACACGAGTTAAAATACTAGAACCTAAATACCTGTTAAAGCTTCTTGAAATAGATACACATGCAGTTCTCACCTGAAGACAGAGATTCTTGTGAAAGAGAAGTTTGTTCTGCAACATGAGAAGATTGCAACTGGCATTGAGGAGGAGTCTGTGTACTTGCTGTGGAGAAACTCTGGTTATATCCTGTTGAATATGAAGAATCCTCCTTAATTTCCTGGTCTTTACGTGGAGGCAGTGGTGCATTCACTTTAAACACCTACAACATATTTCAGGGAAAATACTTAACACTACCAGCTAAAGGCTTTGCCTAGTGCCACCACCATGTTATGCTGTAGCTTAAATTCATACCCCCAGGTCAGTTTCTGGAACACCTGTTTCTTAGAAATAAATCAAAGAGACTACTTCAACCCATCCTTTTTCCCTCTCAGTGTACTTCTGAAGGTTACTCCTGTTCATGTAGCTACTACCCAAGAAACAGCTTGACTGACCATAGCTATCATATTTCAACAGAAGAGTTACCATACAGTAAGCTACTTTCTATGAGAAATCCACTATTAAATTCATCTTACAGCTTTTGACATGAAGCTGGGACAGCCTATACCAAGATAGACATCCACATTTAGGAAAAATTTGTCTTTATACATGTCTTGGAACCCAATATAACACTGCTGTCTGCTCTATTAGACAGCCTTCACCCCTTTGGTAAAATGAGCTTCAACTTTCCTCTTTTTTTAAGTTCTCTCAGAGTAAACATGTAACCTAATTTTTGTAATTCAAATTTCAATGTTATAGACTGGGCAGAAGGGTGGCGCAAGGATGCTGTTAGTTAAATTTAATCAACCAGAGTTCAGTCACTCCAGTGAGTCTACTGCTTTATAGCCAATAACCCAAAGTTACCAGAGTTGACATTGTCAAAAGCAGCTAGCACCAAGATCAGGTAGGAAAGAAGTCTGTTTCAAGTAAAAGCATCTAAATTTCACATAAAGAGTTGTCAGCAGTACTGATACTGGAGTCTAGAGGTACATCTGACCATTTCCCAAGACTATAAACTGTCTGTAGACAGACCAGAGCAAAAGGAACAGCTTCACAGCTTGACAACTGTTGTCAGTTTGCAGAAGCCTCTAAAATTAAAATGGAAATGAACACTTCTTCCAAGGTCAAGAAACCAAGGACCACCTCTATGAGGGAGACAGCACAGAAATCCCTCATGACACTGAAGTGTTTTGAACCATAACAAATTGATTTTTTTTAATTTACCAGATGAAGTGATCAAAGTGAACAGAAGCAGTCCTGTTTCTAGAAGAGGATACTGTGCAGCAAGGCTGTCAACTCCCACATCCTGAAGTATTTGTAGCAAGTGGTCTTCTTTTCCTTACAGTGAGGGTTACAGGTGGAATTCTAGTAACAGACTAGGGCTACAAGTAGGATCTGCCTTTAAGCTTCTATAAGCACAATTGCAGCAACAGGATGTTCAGACACCTGATGACATGTAATCAGATGCTTCCACTACTGTCACTGTACTCCCATTATTGGCAAGGAACCACCTACCTCCTGGCTATCTACTGAGATCCAATGGCTGTGCTTTCCTGTCAGTTGTGAGAATCTAAGCAACACAGGGAAGAAGAAAGTACTGCACAGTTAAAGACTACTATGACTAGAAGAGGAATTAACATCCTGGCAATTAGTGACAGATGTTTGCCAGTTTGACCCAAAAATCCCAAGAGAAATATTCAATATTTAACACCTCTGAAAACTCCACAGCATTCATTCAAGTATACTTTCAGTGGTACCATTAAGATCAAAAGCACTCCAAACACAGACACTAGGTATAGATATAATCTGAATGACTGAGTCCTACTCCATACTTACATCATGACAGATGCTTATATTACAAACTGGGTCCCCAGAAAGACTCTGGATTCCTTGATCAGAACGCTGCTACTTCTCCACTTTCATGAAAAAATCACCACCTAGCAACTTAACATAATTTAAATAGAGCTGTCTTGGAAAAAAAAAAAAACCAAAAAACAACACACCTTTCTACCATCACTTCCCTTATTTATCTGATTCTGTACATTTGAGGAAGGTTCTACTTGAAACTCTTGTACAAATGCCAAAAAACAAGGAGAAAGTCATGGTATGATTTTCTACAGACCACACCAGAGTGTCACATATTTTAGTTAGATCCTGTGCTTTAAAAGACTATTGGCTATCTTCTTCCACCAAATCCTACTATGTACATCAGTACTGCCAGATGCAGATCATCTGGCAAGTTGTGGAATGGCACTGTGACATTTGTTGAAACAGAGGATGCCTCTGGAGATTGACTTTTTTCTAAACTTGCTTTTGGGCAAGAACATTAAATAAAGGGCTCTAGCATCTTGAGAAGGTATCAGAGGAGTAAGAAAGACCAAGTACAGAGAAGGGAACATTAACAACTAAGCAGAGACCCTTCCTGTGAGTCCCTCTAAGCTTGCAGTGCAGATTACTAAGCAGTAGCAACATTAGTAATGACGTATGGCCTGAAAAAAAAAACAGTATCCGTTTGGAAAAAACACCACATACAGTCTGTGTGGACTATTCCCCAGACATCTATATTGACTCCTTGTTAACAAGATAGGATAATGAGTTACCGTGTTTCAAGGACACATTTTGCATGAGTTGAGTGGTCCAAGTATTATTGCACTGAAGCAAACAGTTTAAAAGGCAGCAAGACAGGTTCAGGCTTCGGAAAGCTCTTCATCCTAACAGCTATACTTGAAGATTTCCTCTTTCCTCTGCAATCTATTATTTAAAATCTAGGCTTAAGAATAGTTTAAGTACAGTCAACTTTACCTTGGGGCATAGCTATGAATCTGTTGATTTCAGGTCTGACTTCTCCCTTAGTTCCTTGAGGATATTAATATATCCCAGTATTTGATATGGGGACTATACAGAGCAAAACCAGGATGTATCCTTGAATCAAAAGGATCTATGAAGTTTCATACTGTATCAAGAGGATCCAGTTCCCTAGTATTACAACTAAGTTACCATCATTATTGTAAATCATTCTGCAAACTTACAGTCTGCATAGCCTGAAAGGGAGCTGCTGTTATTGTGACAGAACTGCTGCTTGCTGGAGGAGACTGAAAGCTTTGCGCTGGTGGTACTGGTGTCATGGAAGTGCTTGAAGTAGGCAATGGTGACTGTGGCTCACTTGGGAGGGGAACAGTAGCCTGAGGGAAGAATAAATGTAATGAAAGGTCACTTGATAATTATCAGGCAGTATCAGAGCATTTAATTTGTTCTAAAGCCTAGACTGACAGAAGTCAGCAGTTTCTACAGGATGACATTTGGACATAGTAAAGCTACAAAATAGTTTTTGCTTACAATTCCAAATCTTCCTGTGCATCCTCAGCAAACAGTACTTCTATTGCAGTCTCTGCTGATTAAGTGAAATGTGCCTATGAGCTACTATACATACCATACAGGGTAATAATTTCACAAAAGAGATATTAGGTTTTTTTTCCTCACCACTAAGGAAACAATGCCTTCTGTTCCATTTATTGGAAGATGATTCTCTGGCTGATATTAAAAGTGACTCCTCTTTTCTAAAGGAACTCAGGAAGTTTAGGGGGTTTCATTATTTTCCCCTCTCAATGTTTTAGATTACAACAGTGCTGAGTTGTCCAGACCAAGTATTAACCAGCATTAAGCCTCATCTGTGCAGAGAGCAAAGTGAAGTGTTAATTTAGAATACCAGTATTTATAGGAATCAGAAGCCAAAGAAATGCAAGGCTCTATAGACATTTCGTAACCAATGTATTTACCTTACCCCCTGTATTTGTGATAGCTTACCTGGGCAATTTCAATCTTTTTGGGTATAAGTGGCTCAGAAATACATGGACTTGTCTGATACAGTGGCTGGGAAGTATATTTCTCAGTCTCTTGAGACAGCGATGCTGATGCCTAGAAGAAGCCATACATGCACCTGCTATTACAAAAAGTACTGCAGGAAGCACAAGCTTCTGTTAGAGCTATAAAATACCAGTGCCTAAGTTAAAATAAGTGGATTTTGAAAGACCGTGATAAAAATTAGGCTCAAAGTAGATCTACTAAATAGTCACCTTAGCCAAAAATTTCAAGTAATTAGCATTAGAGATTCAGACTGATTATCCTTCTTACACAACAGGTTGTACAACTAGCACTACAAAAATCAGGTCATTTTAAGAAATGTAGATTGCTTCAACCAGTTGTTACAATGAAGTCTGATACACATCTGTCTCCTTGAATTAAACAAAGACATCTGTTAAGCTTCTGGTAAGCTCTGTTGAACAAGGCTTTGGAGCCAAACTTCCTTTGATTTTTCAAAACCTGCATGTTCTAGTTAGTTCACACTATAATTTTAAGTTTAAGAGTTGCTTACACTTAGATGCACAGCTGAGGGGTAAAGACTACCAGTTCCATTCTCACTGTGTATACCATCACAGGTGCATCAGAACTGGTATGCACTCACATGCCAGGAGAGTGCACTGTCACCATGAAGTGTATTCCCTGGTTAAGCTTTGGTCTCAGCACATCTACTGCTTTCTATGAGAAGGACTGGAAAAGAAACCACACTCTAAGCCCAAGGGACTAGAGGTGCTGGGCACAAGCAACCTTAATTCCAAACAATACGTTTGCAGATAAACTAGGAGCATTCTACTAAATCAGATGCTCTACATTAGAGCACAGCACAAGTCTTCTGGATGCATATTAAACAGTAAAATTACTTAACCCTTGTCAGCACAAGAAGTCTTCTGACACTGTCTAAGTGAGAGAAGGTGTCAAGAACCAGGCCAAAATTGCCAATTCAAGGGGCAGCAAGACTAATATTCACATAAAGACTGTTATATTTGCCTATATAGTATTACTAAGGAATATAGTAAATGCTACATGCCCAGCATACTGATGGCATGTACATCAGCAAAAACATTTTAGAAGCATTAACATTCCCCCATTGTAATTTATATACACTGTATTAGAGATTTCTAAGAGGAGGAGCCAGCTGTGTTTCTGAAGACAGCATCACACTAAGCAAGGGGTCCTTAAGACAGTGATCTGCATAAACTAAAACATTATTTGTGCCTCTAAACAATATCTGAATGCTAGTTGAAGACTTAACTGCACATACAGTTAATGTAAAATCTAAGGTCTTGGCTGAACATTAGCAAGTCAGTGTTTTTTCAGTTACTGCTCAAGAGAACATACCTCAGCCTTAACACAGAAGTCTGCTATTTCATGACAATGCCACAACTTATGCATCCTCTGTGTAATTAGAGGGAGTATTCTACACTGTAACCAAAGCAAATATTCAAGCTGCTTGTATGTTCCCACAAAAATATGCATCACTCTAGCCTGCGTTTCTTCATCTCACACCCTTTCCATTTCAAGGGGCAGACTGTTCACATTGCATTCATGTGGATTAGGAAGACTTTCCCAGCCACCTTTAGGTATTCCAAAATGTAGGCTATACTGTTGTGGTTAGTTCCATTCTGTCCCTCTATATTGTTCCAGGAGAGGTGCCACCACAGCTTTTGTTAGGGCTAGCTATCACAGGTTTTTGAATGCCAGTGAAGCCCAGGGTATATTACCTGTGGTGTCTGTGGTGTCACCAAGTCTTCTGTTTCAGAGCCAGAAAGAGTCTGATCAGCAGATGCTAGGGAAGTATTTGAACCATGCAGTGCAATGGATGAAGCAGCAGCCTTGCAAGAAAAGAGAAGAGATAAAGTTTTTAAATATTGTCTTAAATGTTTGGTTTCACTGAAACTCACTCTGGGCATTTTCAAGTAAACCTCAGAATGAGGCAGGAGCTGAAGTGCTTTGAACAGTAATTTAAGTTTCTCAGGAGTTCTTGTTCATGGCAAGGAAACCTATTTAAAACCCAAAGTAGCAATGCATTCAAGTACAGCAAATGATTTTAAGGTTCACATAACCATGGCTGCCAAAGCTTGACACACTACCTTTGGTGTAAGTGGAGACATCAAAGATGAATACATGCACTATATAACAAAGCAGCAGCATGTTCTTTGGCACAAAATTATCACCTACAACTTGAATCTATAGGTTAAGTATTCAAACTATTTCCGCATGTCCTCAACACACTTTTTACTTCAAGAAACTTCAAACATTTGTTGCCGCTTTTCAAGCGGAAGAGCAGCCAACTCTGTCAGCATGTGAGTGATCTTACATTTGTAAGCTACTGTTACACGAAATTTGTTACAGAACTACTGACAACAAACAAAGCAACTGAAGTACCAAGTCTGTTGTAGTGCATAACCTGTACGTCATTCCATGGCTACAGTTCTGCCTCTTCACTAAGGACTGTTACTTCAACTTACTTGAAGGGGCTGTTGAAGAAAGTCACTCTGACTTGGCAGTTTCTGTTCTTTCGGAGCTGTAAAAAAAGAATGCATTAAGCAACATTTGCTTTTAAATTAAAACATTTCATAGAGTTTCAGTACCCAGTTCTACATTTTGAAAGCATTTGGTGTATGAAAATGCACACTATTTCAAGTGTGTGCACTGCAAATATTTAGAATTAGCATCAGTAAACTACACTCCATTGAAAGTTTTTTGTAAAAGGGGAAAAGTATTCAATGATAAAAATATTTCTACCACAAAAGAGATACCCACTTTCTATATTAGAAAGGTGTAATAAACTGGCTAATTTGGTTTCACAGCTGAAGAGCCACCCAAACAGTTTCTTAACAAGTTCCCATTTTCCAAGTGTAGCCAGAAAACTGCCCTTTGTCCTGAACTCATTCACAGCTTGTGTTTATATACACCACATCTAGACAAGTTGTCAGCATGTCAATTCTGCTGCTAGGTTCAGATGCACATGCCAGTCAGTGATTAAACAAACATTCCATTTCCAGGCAGATACACCAACTTAAGCCACCTCCAGCAACTAATAAGCAGGTAAGCAGTTTGAGCTGCCTCTTTTTTTTTTAAATCAGACATTAATATTGTTTTATAATTAGACAAGCTGTCTTCATTAGGCCTACTGATCTACAGCCCAACCAAATCCTGTTAGTGTTTGCAGGAATCCCGCATACAATTCACACTTACAGTATTACCTACCTGCAGGACTACTTGCTGGAGTAACTGAAGGTGGTTGGGATGAACCAATGGCACTTGGTGAAGCTTTATCAAAATCCAGAATGGACTCCTTTTGTGAAAAGATCATCAGTTGAGAAAAAAAAAGATTAAACTCTAGATATAAATGAAACAGTCTCCTTTGACAAGTTGCTGTTAGCTAATTAGAGCTACATTCATTCAGTGCAAACACACATTGGCAGCACTGTTTTCCCTAACCCAGTAGGAATTGGAGCTGTGTGCTACAACAGCAGAGAAAAAAAAATAAAAAAAAAAACAACACATACTTGCATGAAGTTGTAAGTCCCTTGTATCTGAGTCATCAGATCCTGAAGTTTTTCTCTTCTTAACACTGGATCTTTTGGAAGAGTTGAAGTAGAACAAAATTCTGCAGCTGGCTGATGTACAGGTTTAGGCACCTAATAGGAAGAGAATACATTAAATCTAATGCTGGAAGCGAGACAAGGATCTTATCCAATATACTTCCAGAGCAACCTATAAATGTCAGAAAACATGGGCCAAGGAATTCTGTGCTGTCATTGATATTTCCTGAATCAAGTTTTCACTTCATTAAATAACAGCAGTTTACTGTTGCCACAACATTAATTCACCTCATTCAGCTTCATACAGTCAAGTGTACAAGATGACAATAAGTTGCCGACATTTAGTGCATCATTAGGAAACCCACATATCCAGGCTGAAGGCCAGAACAAGCTTAAAAACCAAAGCTGCATCACTCAAGGCTTAAAACATACTCCCCCTCCCAGTAGAACCCACACCAATAAGTGCATATCTTTAGGATGGCATTTCCAGACATTCTGAAGAAAGTGCACCCAAGAGATACACTGCAAGCAGGTTACTCAGGATTAGACCAAGGTGCTTCCACTAGCAAGCTAGATATTCTTTATGCACCAGCTCCTGCAGGAAGTATTATGTTAAACTTTTCAAAGTCTAGCATGAAAAGTACACCTGTACTCCCACATGGGAGCCCAATTTTGTGGCTAAATACTTCTGCAGGAACTTAGTACTCTTTGATTGTTTCACATGGTCCCTTAACAGTTCATCACAACTTGTTCTCACTTCACATTAAGAAGAGGGAAGCATTTTGTCAGAGAATAAGCAAGTTTAAGGTATCAGAAAAACCATGACAGTAAACTCTTTAGAGAGCAGAAGCCTTGTTATTTTCAGGGTGACAATAACAACAGACTGTCTAGGTAGCCTAACATGTCTTTTGAAGTGGTAGGCTTGTTACAAGTATTTTAAACCCATTATTTTTAGTGATTCTCTAAAGCTTTGCTTCTCTTACATTTGTCTCTGCAGGTAGAGAGAGGCAATTCTGAAGACAATAGCTGCGTTATTTCAACTGGCCCAAATGTGGAGACACATAGGAACATATGAAAGCCTTTCCTTTCCTAGAGATTAAAGTCTATCTTTCCAATAGGAGATGACTACAATATACTATATAGCAGTTGAGTATTTGTATGAATTCATTAGAAGACTGACATTATATGGCAGAAGGGTACGTGCCATGACATTCATCACAAATTCAACACAAATTGACAGAGTACTCTTTGTCCAATTTTAGCACAACAAACCCCAAACTACTTTTTCATGTCTTCAGCAGTAACCTGGAACTAATCCCTATCATTTGCAGAATTTCCAGTAAAACGGACATGGAAGAATCTTGCAGGGTTTAGTGATCTTCACAAAGCATAATCCATGTACATGCAGCACATTAATTATGGCAGACTCCATTTCTAATACTTGTGGTCCACACAATAGCCACTTGTTGAGCTGTGGGAAGTTTTACTTTTTCCTAGAGCTAAGAGCGCATCTTTGTACTACTGTCTTAAGACTTCCTGATGCATGCACATGCATTATGCTGTATAGTTTTCATTAATGAAGAGACACTAAAGCTATTAAGAACCTAACTGCAGGACAAAAGATACAGTTGAATAAAGTTAAATCGCAGCAAGTTATAGATTAAGTTACTAGGACTCAATCTTCCTGTACATCACTTTATTAGCACTCACTTATAAGCAGACAATCTTAAAACACTTGCTGTCATGGTAAATCCATTATGGGTTTAACTGTTCTACTACTTTTTTCCTCTTCACTGCAGTTTACTAAGACCTAAGTACACTACAAAACCGTTCTGCAGTTTTGCAAACTGATAGCAAGTTTTTCACTGTTAAGTCACCTAACCAGGTGAAGTCTGGCAGTGTCTACAGCTATTAAGATTGTTCACTAGTTAGGTAAATTAGACTTGTACATTAAGCACATTTAAAACCAGCCTTAACACCATGAAAGCAGCAGAAATTGCAGTTTCACTTGTGATTTCAAAGACAATACAGTCTTCTGTATGCTTTTACAATTTGCTAAAGATTCTTCACCTCCTTCCCCAGCTCATACACTTGTACATTATCCTGGTAGCATTCTTCCAACTGGAAGAGCGAGCATACGGAGTTACATGTATGATATTAGGGCTTTAAGCCAGGATTAAAACACTGAGACTCTAGTCTGTGGAGGTTACCTTCCAGTTCCTGCATATATTAAAACACACCAGCCTAAAGTAGCTATACTGAAGTTACCTCAATTTGCTATTTTACTGCCAGTTGGGTCTTCGAAGCTACAGTAATCAAGTGCAGTACAAGAACATGCACAAAAAAGTATCAGGAAGTTAAAGTATTTCAGATTTTATGCCTTTGCAAGAGATGCTTTGAGAAAGAGCAGGTACCTGGTATCCTTAAGGCAGTTTTAAACCAAGTTTTCTTTCTAGCCTACAGTTAGATGTTTCTGGAAATCAATACAAGATGGTGGCAGATTCTGAGTGTAGTAACCTGTTAGTCCAGCTCACATCAAACTTATATCCTGAGATCACTTAAAATCAGTGGTTCAAGCAACATTCAAGTCAGTTTTACACAGCACTGGAAAGTTTAGGGTCTAATTTGTCATAACAATATGTTCCTGAAACCTAACTTCAACACTTCTTATACATTCGGCAACAACTGTTCCTGTCTAGAGAACTGACTAAAAATGGAGTTGAAATACTTAGAACTTGGTTTAGGACCTGGTAAGTCATTTGCAAATCAATGTGAAGACACAGTGACCACTCCAGAATTTTACCAGAGTGCCAATATACTAAGCACTCCTGTTAAAGCTTGAATTTTAGAGACTGAAGGTCTACTTCTGTGCAACACCAACATACATTTCAAGTACCCCACATGCCAGTAAAACTTAATTCTGATACCACAATTCTTTCTTAGGTTTGTTAGCTGTGGAGTACCAAGAGAGCTGGGATGGTAATACCCGAACTGTAATTTCAACAGTGAGCCCTAGCTTTACCATGTAGATACACAATCAACATTTGCTTCCTACTTGGAGTAGCATTCACATTAGATATTATTTCAGTGGCACTGAATGACAGTACAAGCCTTGCTACTTCCACATAGCAAGACACAAATTCAGCACTAATCAAGTTTAATGGTCCACGGGTTGCACAAATATTTAAATAATGTAACATCTTAACAGGCCTGCACTTCAGTTCAACTTCTTCAGTATTGCCCTTCATGGTACATTAAGTTAACTAAGCATATTTCAAGATCTCAAAACCTAGTAGTTTATCTAAAGAACTCAGGGCTCTAAGTTATTTCAGGGAGTAAGGAAAGGTTAACTTCAGCTCCAGAGGCCAGCAGCAATGACACAGGCTTTCTATCTACCACATCTAGATCCCTGCACAAGGCCATTTATAGATTGTCCTTGGAAGCAAAATGGATCCAGCTACGGCACTGCATTGCCTCTTCTTTCTTCATATACAGAAAGGCAAGAGAAATTTCCTTACTCAAATTTCAGTATTTGTTAATTGTGCTTTGTATGTACCTGACAAGTCAAACATATATTGATTTTTTTTAAAAATTGTATATGGAACCTAGTTAGGTTGATAGTACCTTTCTATTGAGTCAATATACTTTTGATATCAGATTTGTCAATAACTACTAAGCAAAAACAAATGCAGCTGGTGTTTCACCAAGGTCTATGGAAATCAAAGTTTGAATACTTAAAATATGCTTTGTTCACTTAATTCAGCAACCCATCTTAAGCAATCTCACATTCCAACATTTCATTTGGTTTAGTTCTGCTGACATGCACACCTGCACATTACAAAGATTCTTAGGCAGTTTGCAAGTTTCTCCAACTGACTGGAGAAACTCCTTTTTTCTTACTGCATCAAAGTTTTGTTTATCACTTAAGCCATCCATCTGCCCATCCTATGTAAAAAACAAGAGTTCATACAAGCAACTTGCATTTAAGCTTTAATGTTATCCGACACCAGAAAATCCAAGGCATCTTAAAGTGCTCGAAATTATTCCAATACTTCAGATTGTTTCAGTAATACTATGCATAGTTGGGTGCACAACACCTCCTTGTGCTCAGATTTACTCAGTGAGGCCACCAGATTTTATACCTGTACCACCAGTGAACAGATTCTACTCAGCTCAAGTGTAAAGACTAATCAAACACCTTAATCCCATTTTGTTACCCAGTGCTGCATGTTACATACTCTCTTAATCTCGGGTTCAACCTTCAGTTTGCGGTCCCGCTTCTAGGCACAAGAACATCCATTTTCCAGTTATGTCAAGTTTACTGACAAGATTTAAACTTAATCATTTGCCATGTGTAATATGGCATTAACAGATCTCTGCTTTCTTGTAGAAATAAGACAGTACAACACTGTACACAAAATTGCTTTTCTTCCTGAAGTCTCACTCTAGCTTGAACACTGCTCTTAATGACAGAAGATGGAAGACAGAGTTCAGTTATCTGTTTTGAGTTAAAACTGTTACTACCCGAGTACAGGTGAGAAAGAAGGTAATGTAAGCAGATGCTAGCAGCCTGCTCAGCTGTGAGCACTGCAGCAGCTTTCATTTTACATTTCTAAAATTATAGCTATTTGTTAAACACCTCAGGACAACAGTATGGTTTCTGCATTGATCTGGAAATACATACATAAGCCCCTACACCATTGCTATTCCTTGATCTAGCTCTGCCTTGAATTAGCAGCTATTTTAATCAAAAGCCTAAAAAGAATTACTGAAGTGCTATTTGCATACAGACACATACAATTTGATTCCTGGCTGAGTTACACTTGCTTTGTACTGCTAAGGGTGAACAGAGCCAGTAACTAGGGATGAACTAAATTATGTCTTCTGTCTTACGCATAAAGCAGTTATTCAAGGCTCAAACACAGCAATACTGTGTTGATATAAGAAGTAAACCAAACCATCTTGTATTCCAATATAAGCTTTAACTGCCAGAATTGTTTTCCCCAAGAATTTAACAGGGCTAAATAAAGGCCTATAAAATGCATTCTGTAAAGCCTCTGCTAACAGGTAGCTTTAGTCCAATACACTAGTGTCAAAAGCTTATGACAGGTAATACTACATATGCCAACTCACTTCTTTGGGTTCCATATCAAACTTCTTTGGCCCCATCTGCTCCTTTGGCCCAATACTTGCAGCTCCCCAGGACTTCAGAGGGTTCTGTAACTGCTGTGATGACACTTGCTGCTGCCTGTCAGCTTTTTCCCAAGCCTCTGGAGTCTCCTGCTTCTTTTGTTCTGGCTCCTCCCTAACATGTGCAGCCCAAGCCTTCACAGGCTCCTGCTTCTTTCGCTCTGGCTCTTCCCTAACAGGCATTTCCCATGATTTCACAGGTTCTGGCTTCTTTTGTTCTGGTTGCTCCCTAGTTTGGGTTACCCAAGGTTTTAGAGATTCCTGCTTTTGTTCTGGTTCTTCCTTAACTTTGGTTACCCAAGGTTTTAGGGACTCCTGCTTTTTCTGTTCCTGCTCTTCCCTAGCTTTTACTACCCACAGCTTAGGTGATTCCTGTTTCTTCTGGTCCTGCTCTTCCCTAGCCTTTGTTACCCAAGGCCTGGAGGACTCCTGCTCCTCTCGGACACGTGCTACCCAGACCTTTGGAGCTTCCTGCTTCTTCTGTTCTTCCTCCTCAACACAGGTCTCCCAGGGCTTTGCAGGCTCACGCTTCTGTTCCTCTTCTTTGACACGGATTTCCCACGGCTTTGGAGAATCTGGTCTTTTTGGTTCTTGCTGCCTAACACGAGCTTCCCAAGGCTTTAAGGTCTCTTGTTTCTGCTTCTGCTCCTGCTCTTCAGTATCAACAAGCATTTCCCAGGACTTCAGAGGTTCTTGCTTTCTAGCATACCCAGCTTCCCAAGATTTTGGCTCTTCTGGCTTCTTCTTGACAGAGTATTCTGCTTCAGGCAAATAACGCCTGTTGAGAAACTATATAGACCAGAGAAACTTAATGGCTCCCAAGAAAACATTTTGCTACTACAATTCAGGTAAGTTAGGTCACCCAGCTACCAAAAACTTCTGACTAAAAGCAGAGCCCAGACAGTTTAAGTATCAGCTGTAGAAACTATAAGGACAGCCATGCCTTTATGCTACAGCACTGCAGACTAGCTTTGTTTGGCAGGCCAGAGAAGCAGGAAACAGTCCTGTGCAGCACAAGTGACACATACTTGAGCCGAGTAAATCTATTATCCTCAATGCTAACTGGTGTTCCTAGGCAGTTACGGTATCAGGTTCAGTTGAGACTTTTTATGAACACAGCTCTCCTCCTAAGCATCTAAAATGCTGTGTTATTAGATTAGCAGACATTCTGCTAAGAACAGCAGCACCACCTCCCACACAGTCTTTGACCCAGTAACTAAGTATAACCCTCATCCTTAATGGAGCTTAAAATATTAAAAAGTCACTAGATTCTCAGATTCAGTACCTCTGGACTTCTACAACTGGACAGGCTACATTTGCTATCAGTAATTCTGAGTTCAGTGAAGGCATCCTGAAGTTTTCCCTAGTTACCACTTTGTCATAAACAGGAAGTAAATATATGAAGAATGTACAAGGCTCACTAGCTGAGACTTTCTGACAAGTCACCAGAATAAGCCTTTAGCATCAGGTACCAGGTTATAAAAACTTGTTCAGGGGTGCACTCTCTAATGGGATATCCAGGAATTAATGATTCAGCATTTCAAGAACCAGTATTCCCTGTTACAGAAGTACACCCTTCCCCACATTTTGAAGTTTAATGGGTTTTGTGCTATTGCTAGTTGAAGTTTGAGTACTAAACTTCAACTTAGCTGTCAAAACATGTCTATACATGTTCAACATGTATACACATATGTGTTTCAATGACTTAATGGTTGTTGAAACATGTCTACACACCCTTCCGCACACAAGTCTATGTTAAGACCCCTACTTTTCTGACAAATGAGAACAAGATTTGCAACCCCACCAGTATCAAGCTTACTGCAATAAGCCTAGCTTTTAGAGACAGCTTTAGTATGTGTGTATTTTTTCTACCCTGTAGTACACTAGATAGTTTGTTTCCACTCTAAAGGCTGAGGCTTTGGTTTTATTCAGGAAAGCACCAGAGTATTAAAGTACTATACTACTTCATGTAATCCTGGCCCATTTATCCCAGAATATCCCACAGAAACCATAAATTTGGGTTTAGAAATAGAAATGCAACCAAACCAATGCTTTCTATGTAAAGCAATACCTAAGTTACTGTTCAGACTCCCTTAAGTTTAGAAAACAAGCTGCAGAAATGCCATTATATTTCTGATAAATCATATACTAAAGGAAAGCAATTAGCAGTGGAATATCTTACCTCCTGTGGCTGTATTTCAGACTTCATAAGCTCCGCAATGGATTCTAGAGAAAGGACGTTAATTTGTTTCAACTGATCAAATGCAGAAAGGCAGAACAAGCAGTAGCAAGTCTTTAATTCTACTCAAATAGTAGTGCAAATTGCTAAAGCTCAGCTTGTCATTCAACATGGTATTTTTAGACAACCTTTTATTTTCTGTTTTAAATTTGTGGAGTTAAGAAACATTTTGTAGTATTTGTGATTTGATTATTGTAATATGCAGCATTCTCTAAACTAGACAATTCTCACACCTTGAACATGAAGACTTGCTCAGGTGACAAAAACATCTTATTAGAATTAGATTGTTTTTCCCCTACAATATTTGTCAGAATAAGGCAGAAAGCCTTGAAGGTTCTATTTTATCTGCTACATTGCAAGTAAGCCACTGCACAGGATTAGATTTAATCTCAAACTATGAAAAGTCAGTGCTCAGTTCAAGTTTATCCCAACACAATGACACAGAAATTGAACCCTGTAATATTCCACCTGGTTCTTTGACAGGCTCTCCTTTTGACACATGTCTTGTTCTCTCAGATTTTCTATTTACTTCTTCCATTTCTTTTACTGGCGCAGTGGCGCGAGGAGTCGGAATACTTTCAAAGTAGCGGGAGTCCAGAAGCTTGGACAGCAGGTCCTTCATGTGTTTATCTGAAGAGTAAAAATCCATGCAGTTAAGATATTACAATTTCAAATTAAGGAGTATTCAGATCTAAACTCTTTATTCCCTCCCTTTACATAAACTGCAATTTTTCCAGGTTCACAAATCTTACTGACTTATTGCCATAAAGTGTTTTAGTAAAGGAAAGCATTTGTTAAACTGCTTTATATATTACAGCTGAAAGCACTTTTGCAAGCCAGAGGTAAGACTGCCACCTGTGTTTAAACACACACAAGGTCAACACTGAGCTACCTAGTCTCCCACATGCTTAGAAACAAATTTATTTACCCTTTGTTTATCCTGTAAGCTAGCCAGCACTGATACTAAAAGCACATTGTGCGGACTGCAAAGGTAAAGCCAAACAAACTCATTATGCAACTGCCCTACAGCACCCTCTTCCCAGTGATAAGATGTTAAGTCTCAGACCAAAAAGTTAAGAACTGCAGAAACAAGCAGGGGGTGGGAAGCAAGAGACTGTTCCAGACTGAACTTAACCCTCTGAATTTTTGGTAAAGAAAAACTTAACTGTGTACTCCAAGAACTGTCTAGCTTTCCCCTTTATGCAAAAAAGACAGCAACATAGAGTATAAGGCCCCAGAAATCATACTACAAATTCTTTCAGAGAAGCTAGAGAAACAGCAGTCTTAAAAACAAGAAAAATACTCAGCAAGAGATCACTCCTACCAGCAACAGCCACGTGAACAAGAACTGTAGCTTGAATTTAATGTGGGTATAGAAAATTCTCTCCCAAGGCAGTGAATGCTAGTAAGAAGTCATAATAGCTTTATCTCAAATTTAGCTTGTGCAAGACTGACACTAAAGGGGTAGAGTTACTTACAAAAAGTCACAGAAGTTTAGGTTATAGCCAAAAAGCTACAAAAGTTTGGAGTTCAAAATAACTAGGCTATTAATTTATGTCAACAGACACAAATTTAAAGTTACCAGCCTGTAACAATGCAAGGCCAGCTTGCAGTTTGTCCAGAACTACATGAAAAGAGTTAAGAGTTAACACTTAATCTTCAGTTCAACTATCTGCATGTAGAAATTAGACAGGGTACACTCATGCTCTGGTCCAATAGCTTCAACAACACTGTCAATTACAAATAAAAGATACTGCCATACAGCCATTACAAGATTGGAGTAGATGGGACAAGCAAGATCTGTTTGCAATAGGAAAGACTTTCTTCACATTTCTTTTGTGTTCTAAATAGGAACATAAAACATATATGCTGGTTTACAACCATGGTTGTTGAAACTAAGCCACAGTGGAATAAAACATGTAGAGTCCCACAGATTGTTGTGCTTGAAAAATGAGGACACTTGCAGCAGGTCAAAGTAAGACTGCCCTGTACATGGTTAAACACAGCAAGTTCCACTAATGACTATCCTTCCTTAGTGTGGTATCCTGCACTGTAGTCAGACAACAGGTATAAGCCTGGAATTCCTACAAGACAATCTTCAGTGCTGTGGGACCTTCAGCCTGGGGCCAATGAAGATTTGTAAAACACATCAGTTTACTCAACTAAGCATTTCTTGGCTGGGAACAGTGTTCCAGTCTTAAGCTATTTGCACATAACTATTCAAAAAAGTTCCCATTGCTGGTTCTGTAAGGTATTCATGCATCAGCTTTTGAATTACTACCATAATTATTCCACAAGAAGGTGCTAGTACATTAGAGAAAGAGTAAGCCTTTACCTGGAAAAAGAAATCATGCTGTATTGTTGTTGAGGTGTACTTAAACAGAACTTGAAGAAACCAGCAGTTTACCCTTGGACAACTGAGTGAACACATGCAGTTGGAAGTGCTTAATTTAGTAGCCTTCCATGTATATTCCATTGTTTTCAAGATGCTTTAATTAGCACGCACATTTCAGGTCTCTAAGTTACTTCTCTAGAAGAGACACTCACATGTTGTTCCAACCACAGGTTTCTCACTTCCTTCTAGAAGGTCCCAGAAGTAGAGAGATGATTGTTCCATCTGGTCTTCAACACTAAAACAAATGACAGTTTTACTAGGTAGAATCATAGCCAAGATCAAGTGTTGCAGTATCCCAACAACCCTCCTTTGAAGACACTGACTAATGTTTAGCCTTCCCACTGAAGGGAACCCTAAATCCATTATCCACTACTGATTTATCTCTATCTGTACATGATTTAACCTAGCAAATGTAAGTAGTGAATAATTAAGACATATTAAAGAGCCTAGCACTATCCCACAAGACCATAAAACTGACCTTCATTCCAAGTCAGGACTCCTAGACACTCCTAGACAGGGAAACAATTGGTCTTTAACCACCTTGCTCATTGGATGCACATGTGCAGGGGCAGTCAACAGCTCTTGGCCTCTGCTAGTTTACTGAGGGGCTTTGACATAGGTCCATGATCCACCCCACCCCCTCCAGACAATAGATTTGGAAATCTACCATGATGAAATTTAGAAACCCAAAGGAAAGGACTGTGCTTCTTGTGGAAAGAGGAAGCTAGAAATAAAGTTTTTACACCGGGATAAGAGACTCCTATTGTGTAGCTTTTTATAAGCAGCTGTTCTTTAGAAGTTACCTTAAGAGCAAAGATTTGGCCAATTTAGTATATGGCAAGTGATTTTTAGGAAGTCATGTTTGAATATGGAAGTACTCTTATCCATGAAATGTTTCAACCTGCCACCTAATAACTACTTTTCCATATTTAAGTACAACTCTTTCTATACTATCGTAAAAACAGACAAGCTAAGCATAAGTCATTGTAATACAAACATGGTACCAAATTAGTACAGACATTACACTTGTTGACAGCTTGTTACCTTAAAAAGTATGACATTTATTGTAGAGGTATCAAATTTTTTTTTAATTTTTAAAACTTCAAAGATTGGAAGATAATAGCAAGCCTCAGGAGTACCACCTTTCCTTGGAATAAGGCAGCACATCTGGACCACCATGTGAATGGAACGTAGTTCTGCATGTACTGCACTTTCAGTCCATGAACAGCGAGACCTCAAGAAAGCAGCACGCCACCAGCCTCCCTGCTTACAATGGCATTGGACTATCCCTCCTCAGCCCCACAACAAGATGCGAGATGGCAGCACTTCTATGCAACTTGCACAACTGAGGTTCTAATTCCTGCAGCTTTCCTCTAATGTTCAGTGAGGTCAATCTGCTGCATTCTTAGTCTCCAACTAAAGCAAGTGTACTGAATAGAATTTTAATTACTGTCCCAAAACATAGTATTTCAAGAAGTGTCAAACAGAGGACGTTTACTGTAATGAATGAAGCATACCAATTAGATAAAAATCTTGACCTTACCTCAAGTTTTCATTTCTTTCTGGACATGTCAGTTTTGCAAATCTTATGAGGTAGTCTAGTTCTTTAGAAGGCAAGTATATTGCACCATTCACACCACCTTTGAAATCTTTCTGAACATGCTCTTGAGTGAAGTTTTGCAGCACATACTGGACTTGAAGTATTGTACGCAGTTTCTTCTTCTCAGCTTCAAGCTTTAATAGACTCTCTCTTCGCTGAGCCTTCCTCTGCGCTTTCAGCAGCTGTTTCAGTACATGAATTCAACAGTTAAACACAATTAAGTAACAGGATTCTAGGCTGAAACACAGTAAGCTCTAGTATCAATCAACTTACATTGATCAAACTATTAATTTTGGTTAGATAACAGAAGCTCATAACTCTTCAGATACCCAAGAGTTCAAGCCCCTCCTCTGGAAAAGCTCCTCATTTATTTACTAATTCTTTACAGATCTAGCTTTTAGTCAAACTGGATACTAGTAGCTTCACTTGTAATATGCCTTTATGATATTTAGATCTTGATTAGAGCTGCTAGTTGCTTTATTGTAAAAGCTCTTACAACTGAATATAAGAAACTGATACAAACACAAACCCAAGCCTAGCTGACCTTTAACACTTACCACACGAATTTAGTAATGCAGAAGTTTCCAAATTTCTTCTGAGACAACTGCCTCTTCACTTTTGAACACCCCAATTGAAATGATGCAGCAGAATCCTACAGTTACTCTTATTTCTGATGACAGAGGACTGAAGCACTCATGAAATAAGCAACAAGTCACAGAACATACACAGCCCTCATGCATTTAAGAAGTTTATCATGTACTAGCAGAATTATACAGCAGAAGCTGAGTAACTGAAAGATTTAAAATACCTCATTAAAGGGTATCTTAAGTTTCTTTGCAGGATGTGTGGAAATTTAGTTTTTCTAGAATGCAGTGTAAAATCTGTAAGGATGTTGTTGCCAGAATGTTCACTAGTGTTCCAGTAATGGGTACTGCCTGTAGAATCCATACAAGCAGAAGTAAAGCCAAAGCAAAAAAAATTGGTTAGTCTTTAAAAATACCTTACGTGCAAGGACAAACATGACCCGAATTACTAAAAACACCTACAGAAAGATACACTTGGTAACAATCCTTAATTTCTAATATTTTATGGGCAGCCACACAGAGAAAAGCCATAAGAAGCAATCCAAGTTTTTACATTCAGCACAGTAGTTTATGTTCAACATAAAATGTCCAAGTGAACCCAAAGCAGCAACACTGCTGGACAGGCTCTTAAATCTCTGCTCACACAATACTTTGAGAGATTTACAGCGCTACCTGAAATTATTACATACACAAGAAAAGCCTCCCAAGCAAAACTTTTTTCATCTCTCTAAACACCAAAACATTTACCATTTTACCAGTCCTTCAGCATTCTGCAAAAGGCAAAGACATAATGCCAGAGCAGTGACTAATCATGTTCAGTGTCCATAAAACCACCGCAGATCAAATATTTTAAGGACAGTACTTGCTTGAGCTAAAAAAAGTTTCATCAACGATTAAAACATCTGCTTACATAAAAAAATGTATTTAGTGCTTTAAACCCTGAATAATGACATAGATAAAGCACTAAATCTGCTACTTGCCATAATTAGAGACAACTACAGCACAATAAGTGGCAAACTCCACCAGCTTCAGTAAAATTTTACCAAGAGCTGTACTTAACAGTGATTTAATCCCAGCACTTTCCCCCCATTGGAAACATCAAAATATTGTCTGGAAGGAATCTTGGGATTTCATCCTGCCCAGCCTCCAAAACAAAGGTTACACTGAATCAAGACCAGTTTGCTTAGAGCTTGTGCAAGTCAGGTCTTGAAGAGATACAAGGACAGATTTTAATACTTCTCTAGGCAGCCTGCTCTAGTGCTCAGTTATCCTCAGTGACAATTTTCCTCTTATCTAGTTGGAGCCTACTATTTTATGATTACTCCTTCTACCACATCTCAGCAAAAACCCTGGCTCCACCCTTTCAGTAATCAATTTAGTAGTTGAAGGCCAATACTGCATCTCCTGCCAAGCCTTCGCTTCATCAGGCCAAACAAGCCCAGTTCTTCCAGTCTCTCCTCACAGGTCCCATTTTCCAGGCCCCAGTCATTTAGAAACCCACCACTGGACACACTGAAGTTTATCTATAGCCTCTGTGTACCAAGTGACCAGAAACAGACACACCTGGTTATCAATACCATGCAATCAGTTCTCTGTAATCTACTGGTCCTCAGTCTAGTCTAGCTTTCATTGCTCCAGGGGTACACTTTGCCTGCAGCCCATAAGGACCTGTATGTCCCTTCCAGCAGGGATGCTCTCCCACCAGTCTGTACCTACACAGCAGGTAAGTCCACCTCCAGCACAAGGTACCAGCAGTACCAGTTAATGGTTTCAATCTTAACTGGAGTCATCTCAAACACAGCAGAGTTCCATTGACTCAATTTACTTAAGCACACTTAAGTTCTTACAGAAATACACAGTGAATAATTATTGTGTAGGCCAGTGGTACACAAAACTGTCAACATTTACTCTGCTCTATTGACTACTCCAGAAAGCTTAAGCATATTGTTCCCCCAAGTCCCAGGATAGAAACTTCCAAGTATTGGAGTATTCTGCATATTGATATGTAAGTGTAGCCATTAGAAGAGTAGCACAAGCTTTGCAGTTACTTTCTTACAATATAGGGAAGTGCATTTTAAACTTACATCTTGGCTAAGTCCTGAAAAAGTCTTCTGAAGCTCCTTAGCAAATTCCAAGTTGTGTACTACTTCATCATATTTCTCCACGGCCTCCTGCAAAGGAACAAGTAAAAATTTGTCAGACTAAATACAAGGGGATTGAGATGCAACTAGTAAACTATTATTGAGAACTAGTTACTTAGCATATATTTCTCTAAAATTGTAACTTTTTAAAGATACTGGTTCCGTAAATGGTATTTTAAATTTAGTCATGAATATCATTCAACCATGACTCTGAGATACAGCACAAAGCCAGCTCACACCACTACACATGTCCTACAAGTCTGTCTGTATTAGACTTTCCAGGCAACATCTTGTTCAATACTTGGCATACTTGTGTTGAAACAGGAAAGCCTGGATACAAGTTACTTCAATTTTCCTTTTGTTCCCATAGGCCTCAGCAGTCAGAGGTAAAAAACTACCTAAAATCAGACACTGATACAAAAGCCTGGAAGGAATATAGGACACTGACAAGTTCAGCACAGATCTTTTACCCTCATGCTTACCTGAATGCCTTTACAGATAATTTGTACAAACTGTAGAGAAATCATGGAAGCTAAGTCATACTTTGAGGAAAAAAAAAAAAAAAGTCTTTCAAATCTAGTTTCCACAAATAAAACAATGCTCCTGCCTTCACTAATGGCTTTAGCCAATATTTTACTAGCCAGTCTTCAAAAAAAACTAAAGTGGATTATTAATATGCCCTTTGATATACCCTATTTTGTATGAGTTCTTCCCCACTAAGGAGTCAGTTTATTTTTTATAAATCTCCTTGAAGGATGTGAAGACAGCAAAATGCTGTAGTTCAGACATGCTGCCCATATGCTCATACCATAAGCATGCCTGGGAAATACTTTTAATTTCAGTTGCTCACATGTGCATGTGTTTTATGCTCATGATAGCGGAAGTTTTCCGGAACAGGCTCATGGGTCTACTATAACGCTCTTTCAAAGTAGTGTTAGTGTTGAGAGGCATTTCATCAGTGCAATGACAAAAGCTTGATCTATTGTCCCAATTAGATCTGGGACATCTGCAAATTCCATATGTGTTCCTAAGCAACTGGAAAACAAGCTACATGCTCATTTGTTCAACCAGTTTCATTGATCACTTACCTGTATTCACTTATTTGTAGTATACTAAATATTACTAGGCCTAAATGCTACTCAACACAGTGAGGTACATGAGCTAAAGCACTCATCTGGCAGTTTAAGCTGCCCTCAGCAAATTAATCAATATAAGAATTAGCAAGTTTACTTCACACTCTGGAGAGTAACTTCTAAGACTCTAATGCCCACACACTGAGGAATACTCACAATTTAACACCAACAACTTGTGAGACAGATGGCAGTAACTGTGCTTTTAACAATGCAAATCCCAGAGTAAAACTGCCTACCTGAAAACATCAAGAACAGTTACCACTGCTCTGATGACAAGCTCTAACTCAGCCCACAGGAAAGCAATAGCTTTCTTGTGTCACACCTGTTATTAACATTCATTAACAGCATACTAGAGGAACAGTACCAAGGAAAGCCTGCTCAGCTTGCAAATCAGAATATTGCCAGGGAGAGCATTTAACTTGCTGGAAGCTCTTCATTTCTGAAACAGATGTTTCCTGAAGTAAGACTAGCACACACAGTAGCTCTGGCAGGCATGCACACACCAGAAGTAATTAGTTTAATACAAACTGCTTGCAAAAGTTCATCATCAGATGGGCACTTCCTCTGTGCAAGGAACAATGTGAATATAGGTGACATCAAGTTACACTAAAGCTTCACTGTATTACAAGCAGTTAGGTTTCTTCAGGCAAGTGTCCAAGCTATTAAGCTCCTTCTGCTCTAGCTCAAATCACCACGTCCTGGTATTTATACCTACATTGGGAATTTGCATCTGAAAGGTACAAGTGGAGTATTTCCACATCTTAACCACTAAAACAGCGGTCTTGACTAGATTATTAAATACAGAGTTGATACTTCTACAATAATCATTCCAACAGTTTGACTACCACTGCTCAGTTTACTAGCAGGACTGAATCTAATCTCCCATTTTAGAAGGCTGGGATATCCATCTCAGCTGAAAATACTGAAAGCCAGTAACCAAGTTACTTGCCATTTTCCAAAATCAGCACTGGTGGATGCATTTGCAAGAATGATTTCTACAGAATCCTTCACCTCTAGTCCCCCACATCATAATTTCACTTTCACCTAACATCTTTTCACAGTTCAGGGTGTATACCAAACAACTAGTCAAATTCAGAAGTAGCTTTAAAACATGTTCAAGATTAATCAGACTTACACAGAATATTGTTCAACAGTCACACTGTTAGTGACAGAAAACAGATCATAGTTAATACCTATGATAACACAAAAGGCTCTTCCCCACCTGATTCCAGATTGAGTTTAGAGAAAATAAAAAGTCACCATCCTATATTATTATAATTTCCCCTCTTATCCCACTTACATCTACCTCATTTGGAAATCATTCAGGGTAAGGAAATAGTATTTGTGCCCTCATCCTGCTGCACTGTGATACAGCTAGCAGCCAATGAAATTATTTTTCCAACTGGTTCACAAGAAGGATCAGCACGGGGGGGAAACAGGCTGGGAAGCAGCCACATGGAAAGACACCTGGAAGTCTGGGTTGATGGCAATTTCAGTTATGTCAACAGTATGCCCTAGCAGCCCAAAGGGACAACTATGTCCTGAGGCATATCAAGTACAGCATAGCAAGCTGGTTGAGGGAGGTGACTGTCCACTTTGCACTAGCGCAGCCCCACCTCAAGTACTACCTGTAGTTTTGGGCATCTCAATACAAGGACAAACTATTAGAGGGTGTCCTGAGGAGGGCAACCAACATGGTGAAAGGCCTAGAGGGCAAGACTTACAAGGAGCAGCTGAGGTCACACTGTTTGTTCAGCTTGGAGAAGAGAAGGTTAAGGGGTGACTCAATTGCAGCCTACAACTGCCTTAAAGGCAACAGTGGAGGGGGAACTGCTGATCTCCTCCTTGGTGACCAGCAACAGGACACAAGTAAATAAAATGAAGCTGCCTCAGAGGAAGTTCTTGGTGAACATTAGGAAAAGGTTCTTCACTGAATGCATGGCTGGTCACCAGAACAGGCTCCCCACAGCACCAAGCCCATCAGTGTTCAAGGAGCACCTGGACAACACTTACTCATACTACTTAGTGTTAGGTAGTCCTGCAAGGAGTTGGACTCATGATCCATATGGGTCCCCTTCCAAGTTGAGATATTCTACAGTTCTATAACTAGAGCAATAAACCCTTTAGATTATGTGACACTGCTACTCAGATATGCTTAAGTAATAGTTTTCATGTTACAGAAACTTTGTCTCTTTCTAGAATCCATTCTAGTCCAAGACAGAAAAAAAACCAACTACTGTTTAACATCAGGCAAGTTTGCATCAGCTCCACAAAGTGGATCACATTTGTTTAGTGACCTTTTATCCTGGCATTCTAAACTTTAGCAACCTTACATACAAGACATTGCTCTAACAGCATTTAAGAGAGCCGGTGACTCGCAGCTGTCTAACAGCAACACTAGAAGGACAAGAGAGTATTCCAAACTGCATCAATAACCCATAGCCAGATTCGCGTATTAGAAATCACGCAAGTTAGATCAGCATCTTCCTTCTACCAACAGGAACTGTTTGTCAGTTATATTTTAACAGCTACTTGTAATGAACAGCATTGTGCAGCCAACTGGCAGCTTCAAGTAACACCTATTAATGAAGATGTCATGAAGATTAATTAGCTACTCCGAAAGTCTTGATGTTCAGGTTCAAACACAGCAATGCCACAAAGACAAGCTGCATATGGACACCCCCTCAAAAAAGTTGCAGGAATACTGGAGCTGAAAGTCTACAGAGCAAAGATAAATAAGTGTCTTCTGTAACCTCTATCTTGTGTGCTGAGGTCAAAATAGACAAAGCTTGTGGGCTCAACATTCAACTTAATTACCAATAATTCATCCATTTGGTTTTGTGAAAAATACCACTGCAAGCATGCAGGCATTACTTCTGTGAAACACCACCACCTCCTTCAGCAACCTATCCTTCTGACATAGCTGAAGGTTTTGAGGGCATCCCTTCCTGCACTTACCAACTGGTCCTGATTGAGAGCTTCTCCCTTCTTCAGGCGATCTTTGTAGTCTTCTAACTTAAGCTGCAGGAAAATACAAAATACATTTTTTTAATACCAATTTGTCTAATGCAGAGTATGGCATGCAAGTTACATTTCCTGTACTGCATACTGCAACAGAATAAGCATTTTACTATTTGCTCATTTTTAGGAGAAAGGAACACAAATTTCTGCTGTGCCTTTGATTCAGCAATCTCAGTCTCCAGGACTGTCTACTTCCCCTCCTTATCTTTGATCTTTCATCTCTTACTTGCTATCTTTGTTTCATTTATAAAATACTAATGCATTGACCCTAGACCCAAACACAGTGTCCTTATTTTAAGGGATGTTTTTTTAGCTTTTCCAATTCCATGCTAGAATTCAGTTAACCTTGAATAATCCTACTTGACTTTCCAGAGCATGCCTTCCAAAATCTGGCTTGAGTTATGCCATCAAGATTTTACAGCACTATTTCCTAAGAAATTAGGCTAATGTTTTCAGGTAAGATTTATTTCTAATATACTGAAAGTCTAAAAAAGCCGAGGTAAACTGTAAAAAACTATTAGGTATTATTCTTTATGCACACAGGGAAAAGAAAAGGGAATTCATGACCATGAAGTTAAATACTATTTCATTTGTGTAATGGCCCACAGTTTTATTGACACAGTACCTATAGGAGCCTAGGAGTAGGACTACTTTCTGCTCATTTTAGTAAGTCACACTTACATTTGCTGGTGAGGCCCTTTGTAATTCATGTGAAAAATCAAAGATACTTGAGAAATTCACAACAATAAATCAGAATACCATGCAAAGCTGGTTAATCCCACAAAGAAAACATGCTTATCTGACATTATTCAAAATTACAGGATGATGCATGACATGAGACAGCAGTAATACTGCATCTCCTGCAGGAGGATCAAGTCCCCAGGCACATGGCTAGAAGTCTGATCTATGGTGAGCCTCCCCTCACCCTAAGACATAGCACACAAAGCTTTTCAGATCTTTAGGGAAGCACAAAATATTCACTGAATGGTTTTACTTACAAACTTGATCCAGTAATAAAAGAAACAGCACCATTATTTCTTTTCACCTTGCAGAAAATATCATTTTTCAAATTAAAATCCATGCATACAGCCTTCAATCACCTGCCAATTAACTGAAAAGTCTCAGAATGGAAAAGCCTGACTAGTTATAAGCACAATATTTTAGGGGTATCATTATCTCAATTCTTAACACTGTGCTACATTCTCCCCCCCATATTTATGCAAAGTGAAGGGCAATATATATCTAGTATAATTTGACACTTGCATGAGTCAGAGGAAACACTGTTCTAATCTTCAATTTACATACATTTCTACATCATATTAGATGTATGCAATTAATAGAAGAAATATGAATATTTCTACAGAACTGCAAACTGCCTTCAAAACAGTTCCAAGTTAGTCCTGAACTAATTCAGCCTATTAGAGAAGCATCCCCAGCCTTGACCAGCATTCAGTTACTTTTCGTAACTATTGTGCATGCACTGCAAAGCCAGCAGCTGACAGCAGGTCTCTAGTTAGCTGCATTCCCAATTCTCAGAAATGTTATGCTCACACAATGTCAAATGCAAGGAGCCCATTTCAGAACAATAAGGTTAAAAAACCACCATTCTTATACAGGGGTTACAAAGGCTAACAAAAACCCACCAGCAAATCCAAGCTTAGGTCCTGACAGAAGTTATTTTTAAAATCAATGATTGCTTTCTATATACACACACAACCTTTTTCCAGCTATTATAAAACAGGCACCAAGTTTTAAAATTCACAGCTTAAACACATGCCATGCCAAAGAAAAACAAGTTACCTTCTTTTTCTCAATGTTCCTGATCTTGTGTTTGAGGCAGATAAGCCCATTATCAATGTAAGTCTCATATGCCTGGGAAGGAGAGGCTGCCGAGTTCAGCGCAGACTGCAGGGGGCTGGAGGGAGACTGGCTCTCCCCAGACGGGTTCACCTGCTGCTTGGCCGCCTTCATGCTCCTTTCCTCCACCTCCTCTGACCGGCCTGAAGGTGATGGGTGACGGAAAGGGGCTTGGGAAAGCTGCACCATTGAAATGGATGGAGCTGCAAAGAAACTCCTCTTATTTAGCTTTCTCTCACCCCCCCACCCCCAAACCACCACCTCCCCTCTTTTTAAAATTACTTATCATGTATTCCAAGAATTCTTATCATGTATTCCAAAAATGTAGCCACAAAACAGCCTCGGTAAGAATTTATCACCACCTTTCAGTCTTCTCCCTCCCTTTTCAAAATATCCATAGCAGGAATTTCAAAGCAAGGCAAACTTTGTATTGTTCAAGTCTCCCCACCCATCCAGACACCAGAAATCCTTTACATCGGCAGAATTTGCCAGCACAGAGGATGATTCCAGAAAGCCAATATAGTGCCCATATAAAACCAGGCAGGTTTCCTGCACACATCACCCACCAGGGAAAAAAAACTGCAAGCAAGCAATTGCAAATCATGCTGCCAGCCTCACATCCAGGCTGCAGCCTGAATGAAGATTTAGAAGTGGCACGCCTGAAGACATAGCTCCTCTTCCTCTCATCCCCATTAAATCAATTTTACCCCCTCATGACCTTTGCAGCAATCCAACAGAAGACTTAAGCTAAAAAGACTTCAACTGAAAAAAAGACAAAACTAGATCACTTTGTAAAGCGAGTAGCACGCTCGGATACAACAGCTTTGTTCTTCCTGAAGAACTGGGCTCTGCCACCCCCAAAAGACGGGCCCGTGCCACGGCAAGGCACCAGCTCCGATGGGAGGGGCTAGGCTTTAACCTTGAACACAGAGTTTCTGTAAGAGATGCTCCACCACCCTCATCTCCAACTACTTACTTACACCTGCTTCTGAAAAGCAATGACACCACATTTCTGCCTGCAGGAAGGCCTGCGGCACACCTCCCTACGGCCACCGAGCCGGGGGACACCGGCATCGCCCCGGGACGCCCGCTCAGCCTCCGCCGGCGGGCAGGGAGCTGCCGCCGCACCCCGCCGGCCCCGAAGCCCACCGAAGGGAGAGCTCGGGGGCAGCCCTTCACCACGCCCTTGCCAGGGACAGTGAGGAAGCCCCTCCCGGGAAGAGATGCCGAACCCCCGCCCCGCCGCCGCTCCCAGAGCGAGGGGAAAGAGAACACAGAGGAGCAGCGGCGAAGGGGTCCCTGCCGCCACCGCCAGCATCGCGGGCCGGGCCCCGCACCGCCTCGCACCCGCCTCCCCACTCACCTCTCTGTCCGCACACACTCAGACCCGCCCCGTCGCCCGCCCCCCGCCTAATATAGCGGCGGCGGAAGGGCGGAGCGGGGCCCGCCCGCCGGGGTCACCGCCCGCCTCCCAATCGGCGGCGCCGCCTCACCTGCCCGTCTGCCTTCTCCCGCCGTGAGCGGCAGCCGGGGAGGGGAGTGCTCGTGTGGAGAGCTGGCGGCCCGCCCCTCGGCTCAGGGGTCGCTGGGTTTGGGGTCTTCGGGGGCAGGCTACCGGGCAAGGCCTGGCGCTAGGTCGGCAGCTTCGTACGGACGGGATGCATGGAGGGACACGACGCCGTGCTTCGCGCTGTCCGTGAGGAGAGGTTCACCCAGGTCCCCAGGGAAGCCATGTATCACACCAGCCCCTCAAAACAGTCGGCCAAGGACAGGCTGGCTTGTCTCTCCAAGCAGCCCTAAGAAAAGTGTCTTGTCACCCCACTGCAAGAAGATCCTGGCCTTCTCCACCACACAGGGCCCAGTCACACCCTTCACTAGCATTCCATGACCACTGGGTTTGGGTGGCTGTGGGACAGTAAGAAATGTTGGTTCGTGCCTGTTTAAACCAGCAGAAGGGTTCCTCTGGGCCATTATGGAGCCCTCTGAGGAGATTGACCAGTCTCCCTGTCCTTTTCATAACCAAAGATGTGCGTGTCCTCTATACTACAACTCAGTCATGTAAACAGTTGATAGCTAGTAAAAACACTGAAGTCCCCTGAACATACACAATAAAATGATCACAGCCTTCTGCTAACCTCTTAGAAAGCAGATCTTCCAAGACCAGAGGACTAAGTGGAAGCTTCGTTTTCTGTGTTTCTCTTTTCATGTCTAAAGTAATGGCCTAATAGGCTAAATATGTCTAATAGATGCTACAGCAGCTTCAGAGAGATGCTGAAAGTTGTGAAAGTTATGAAAATAGAGACATGAAAATAGAGGCTGCATGTAGACCTCATAGCAGCCTTCCAGTATCTGAAGAGGGCCTGCAAGGATGCTGGAGAGGGACTCTTCATCAGGGACTGTAGTGATAGGACAAGGGGGTAACAGGTTAAAACTTAATCAGGGGAAGTTCAGGTTAGATATAAGGAAGAAGTTCTTTACTGTGAGGGTGGTGAGGCACTGGAATGGGTTGACCAGAGAAGCTGTGGCTGCCCCGTCCCTGGCAGTGTTCAAGGCCAGGCTGGATGGGGCTTTGAACAATCTAGTCTAGTGGAAGGTGTCCCTGCCCATGGCAGGGGAGTTGGAACTGGGTGAGCTTTAAGGTCCCTTCCAACCCAAACCATTCTGTGATTCTGTGATTTTGAAAGAGGCAAAAATTAGTCAGTATGGAAGGATCACAAAGAGGTTTTACAGATTACCAAAGGTTCTTATATAGTACACAGCATGGATGAGAGACTGGGAGAGGAAAGGCTCACGCCAAAGTAAGATTGTGTTTAACAGTAAACCCAAGCAAATGATAAGTAAGTCAAACAACAAGAAGGATTGAGCAGTGCAGAATCAGATTCAGCCATATGGAACCACCTGTAGCATCCACAATCTTGCCACTTGTCCCTGCTTAATCACTAGTCTCAAAATACGCTATTTTTCTTAAAGCCCTAGCTCCTAGAATGAGGTCACTTTGTGAGGATGGTTTTCATGACAGAGAATAAATGATAATGAATTTGACACAGCTGGTGTCTAGGACAAGCAACATACACCGGAGGTCCTTCCAGTAGATTTCTGTTCTTTGTGTGGTTTTGTTCAAAGCTAGCAGTAATGGGCTAGATCCTTGCAAAGTAATTACAAAATGAATGATCAATTAATGCATATATTAATAATAAGTCATAATTAATGTGCAGACACCTGGGACTATTCTATAAATCTTAATTACATCTCGAAAGCTACTTTATAGTATGCTTTTACAATTAGAAAATTGTATAAAAAAGGAAAAAATTGAAAGAAAGATTCATATAAGCCAAATCCGCATTTAAAATCAAAATATATTTGAACCTCTTTTTAAAACAAATACAGAATAACTATTTGAGTCGGATGCTATATAGATCTATAGTATATAAATATAACCAAAGTTAAAAAACGCCAGGATGAAGTGCAGCCTAAATTAATTAGTTTAATGCCATTTTGCAGACCCATCGTGAGATAATCTTTAAGTAGGTGATCACATGATAGGTTATCACAGTCTAGCCAGACATTGATCATAGCCGTGAAGTCCTAGACACTCAGCATTCTCAACCCGGAGACCTGAGCCTTTTACTCCAGGATCAGAAGGGGATTGCACTCTAATGGCTGAAGAAAAACACGCTCTTAATTTTTCACGTTTTACTGATTCTGCTTGTCCCCTTCAGCTGGGACTGCCCTGATTTTTCCCAGTCCCAGCAGTCTATCCCACTCATTTTCCTTGCATGCCTATCCCCCCCAGGCTTGGTCTTTCTGCCCCAGTCTGCATGTTACTTCAGCAAAGCATTTGACACAGTCTCCCACAGCATCCTCACAGCTAAATTGAGGAAGTGTGGACTGGATGATCAGGTAGTGAGGTGGACTGCGAACTGCCTGAAGGAGAGAAGCCAGAGAGTTGTAGTCTATGGGGCTGAGTCTAGTTGGAGGCCTGTAACTAGTGGAGTGCCTCAAGGGTCAGTACTGGGACCGGTATTATTTAATATATTCATCAACGATTTAGATGAGGGAATTGAGTGTACTATCAGCAAGTTTGCTGATGACACTAAGCTGGGAGGAGTGGCTGACACGCCAGAAGGCTGTGCTGCCATCCAGCGAGACCTGGACAGGCTGGAGAGTTGGGCAGGGAATAACTTGATGAAATATAACAAGGGAAAGTGTAGAGTCCTGCATCTGGGCAGGAACAACCCCAGGTTCCAGTATAGGTTGGGGAACGACCTGTTAGAGAGCAGTGTAGGGGAGAGGGACCTGGGGGTCCTAGTGGACGACACGATGACCATGAGCCAGCACTGTGCCCTTGTGGCTAAGAAGGCCAATGGCATCCTGGGGTGTATTAGAAGGGGGGTGGTTAGTAGGTCGAGAGAGGTCCTCCTTCCCCTCTACTCTGCCCTGGTGAGACCCCATCTGGAATATTGTGTCCAGTTCTGGGCCCCTCAGTTCAAGAAGGACAGGGAGCTGCTGGAGAGAGTCCAGCGAAGGGCAACAAAGATGATGAAGGGAGTGGAGCATCTCCCTTATGAGGAAAGACTGAGGGAGCTGGGTCTCTATAGTTTGGAGGAGACTGAGGGGTGACCTTATAAGTGTCTATAAATATATAAAGGGGGAGTGTCACGAGGATGGAGCCAGGCTCTACTCAGTGTCAAGCAATGATAGGACAAGGGGTAATGGGTACAAACTGGAACACAAGAGGTTCCACTTAAACTTGAGAAGAAACTTCTTCTCAGTGAGGGTGACGGAACACTGGGACAGGCTGCCCAGGGAGGTTGTGGAGTCTCCTTCCCTGGAGACATTCAAAACCCGCCTGGACACATTCCTGTGTAACATTATCTAGGTGTTCCTGCTCCGGCAGGGGGATTGGACTAGATGATCTTTTGAGGTCCCTTCCAATCTCTAGCATACTGTGATACTGTGATACTGTGATGTTGTCCGAGTCACAGGCTCCTTTGCCCGATCACTTCCAGTTTTCCACACCTGGTTCTTCATGCAGCCTACCAAAACCCTTCATAATCCTAGGGACATCCAGTGCCAGCCTGCTTCCTCCCCAGGCAGCCGTGGCAAAGAATGAGACCAGGTTCCCACTTTGATTCCCTGCCATCCCTTTTATTACTGTACTGAAACTCCAGAAGGTAAATGGTTGTGTAGAATAAGATCAGCTGCTTGTTAACTATAGGAGAGAAAGACAATGCAA